CCTACTGTGGAAACCAATTGAAATGCAGAAACTCAATTTCCAAAAATCATGTTACTCAGGAATTCAGTAATATAAAATATATATCACAGCTAAGCGAATGAAATATTGAAACCACAATAATATAATTCATGCTTATAACAAATTTTGACAGTTAATGCACACACAATAGAAAGCAATTACATTAAACGGACAAATCCTGTCCTACCACATCTGAATCAAATTTCCCCTTCCTCTTATCAAGCCGCCATTGAAGAATTTACACCACAGCCGAATGCCACGACCATCTTGACACCGCCTCTGCTCGTCGCCCTTTCACTGACACAGCGTCAAGAAACACCGCCATCTGGACAAAGACATCACGCATTGCTTTATGTCTCCAATGTGCTGATCAAACCAGCCTGTACATGTACGGATATAAACTCTCACTGTTCATATGAGGCACTTTTCTTTTCTTTGGATCACACTCTCAAAAAGCAGAAGTGGGCCTCGACTGTGTGTCGACACAAAAGGTCCTTATGTTTCACACAGGTCAAGTCCACCGCTACATTTATGGAAAATAGGCATATATATATATGCCTATATGCCTATATATAGAGAGAGAGAGAGACGCCAGCACCTACAGAGAAGGGCATGTTTCTCACAGAGATAATGAAAACTGGGTTTACAGGGAAACATATTTTGTAAGTGACAGAATGTCAATGGCTTGATCATAAACGACGGGTCAAAATATAATACATCAAATTAATGAGATTCTGAGCAGCGTAATTAGTCACTTGGATGTCTTCTGAACACTTTGTTTCCGCTGGCCTCGACTACCCAACAATGTCTTCCAAACAGCTATTAAATAGGATCTATGTTATAAATATTTAACAGGTGAGGGCAGCGAGTTCATGTCAACGCTCAGGTTAGTTCAGCGTGCCAGTTCAGAAACCTAAGGTGAAGGAACCACCCCCCCCCCAAACATACTTGCAAGGATAAGAGCTTGTTAATCCAGAGGTGAGATGAATGGCAGCCCTGTGTGTGTGTGTGTGTGTGTGTGTGTGTGTGTGCAGGCAGGAAGCAAGGCAGGCTGGGACTCCAGGCACAACTCAACTCTGCACAAAGACCGGCTCAGTACAGCCGCTGTCACACATTGGGAAAGGATACAAAAGTGTACGTTTGCCAGAGCAATACAGTATACGGGGAAATGCAACAGCACAGCCGATACAGTGTACATGTGTGCATATTGTAAGTCGCTTTGGATAAAAGCGGCAGCAAAATGACATATAATGTAAAGATGTTTGCATTCAGTCAGCAATCACTGCTTAGAATAAAGTTGGCGATGGCGCAGCGGTAAATCGGTAGATATGCCAGCATTTCCTGTATTTTAAAAAAAACTATGCCGAAGTTGACCCTGTTGCTGAGAAGCTTCTTTTTGGAACAATTTTCATTTCCCCTGGAGGCATTGGTGTCACTAAAGGCCAAAACAGTTCAAGGTGAAATATCTCTTTGAGCATCAAAGGCAGTGAGGATGTGCTTTTTGGGCACGTCAGACAGAGGATAACTGGGTGATGCCAGGGCAACCTTGCAAGCGTATTTGCTTCCTCTGACCCGTGTGTTGTCTGAGCCAATGTGTAGGCAGATAAGGAAGGAAAATAACTTTTTTTATTGCCTGCCTGCTGAAAGCACTGGATGGTGAAATTGAACTTGTGTGAGTTATTCAAACGGCGCTTTAACTGTTCAGGCAGAACCGCTTGACCAAATTAGTATCAATCAAACAATCTTTGTGAGAAAGAAATGACAATGAAGCATTTTGACCACAGAATCTTTGATTAAATGATTTGATGAGATAGAGTTATAAAAAAGGAGGCAGGACATGGAGGTATAAACTAGGATTACATTTGAGGATTATCAAATGTGTCTGGCCATAAACTTGTTTTATACTAATGTCCCTAGACAATGATATATTGATGATGATGATGATGATGTTGGCACATAATGTACGAGCTCTGCATCAAAAGTTATGTACCAGCATGTGAACATCAATTATCAGCTGATAAATGCCTTCCATATGACGTGTTTTGGAATAAACTCCACCCATATTAATGAGAATAAGAATATATTTTACTTCAACAAAAACCTTTGCACAACGCATACACATGCAAGAACAATGGACGATTAATAGTTTACATATGGATTTACTTAATAGTTTAAAGCTGCAGTAATTGTTCTTTTAGCCACTTGGGGGCAAAGATGCAAACAGAACACAAACATTATCATCGCTAAAGTTAATACAAATGAGTTTGTGAAAGCTTGATTAGCGGCCTCGACTACAACTTTACAGTTTTGGTCTACTACCTTAACAGCTGTCAGAATGACGGTAGTAGTTTTTCTTGTCATATTTTAAAATGTGTCATTTATACACTGTTTATGGGAGGCAGAAAATCCTTGAATAATGATCAAAAAAGTTCCCATAATGATCAAAGGGTATTATTTTCAAACTCCCCATATGTAATTGGTCTGGGATTAGTCATTCAGGGATTTCCCGTATCAGGAAAGGCTTCTTTCAAAAGCTGACAGGTCAACCTAAAGGCAGCCACCTTCCCAGGGAGCGCATCTTTTTTGTATTAGTAGGTTTTTCATCAGTTTTTAAGAGGACTCCAAAACCAAACCTCCCTTTGGGCACTGAAGAGATACGGCTTGCTCTGTAGGCTATGGTTACTTTTCTGAATTCCTGTCAATTTCAAATAGTTACTTCCTTTTTGCAAACTTGTAACTCTAAACAGCAGTTATTAAGTGTCCCATTAACATAAAGTTAGTTCAAAGACATTGATGAATTTGAGATTTTCCGTAGCAATCAATTGAAACCACAGCTAGCTTCATCGTCGACTGGTCGTGGATATTATCGTGTTGTGTAGCTGCAAACAATGACTGTGCGGATCTCAGCGGCAACAATTGTCCCATCAGCAGACCAGAAAACCTTTCAAGGCCACTGACCACAGCGTGCATTCATTTGAGGAGAGAGACCAAAGGCCTGAGCGGGAGTTCAGTGCCTCCATTTCCCAGCTCATGCTTGTTGCAACAGGAATGGAAGTCAAATCCTTCACCAAGTTGCCAGTCACCCGGCCGTGCGTTCCTAACGTTCATGAGCGTTCGTGAGCGTTCATGTGAAGAGGAACCGAGTCTAAGGACGCTTGTGGGTGTGCGTGACTCAACCCTTTCATAAGATATGTAAATTAGCATTTTTGACTCAGCAGAGTTGTGGACCACATTGGAGCTCCAATGGTGTCGCTTTTAAATGATGGCCCTATTAGAGAGCATAAGGGAGGTCATCATTTGACCGGTTGATCCTCTTGGTGCTCATTAACATCACTGCGAAACCTCTTTGAGCACCAAATCTCGACATCCCTCATAAAAGAGACTGAATTGATGTCTAAAACACTTTCACAATCCAATAAATGTCATCCTTCTGTGCAAAGAATTATAATGCAACAGTTAATATAAGGGAGCGGCGACAGATTATTGTTAACAGCTAGGACATTGTGCAAAGAATATATCAAAGAAATCCTCATATACAATGATTGGGTTTCCAAATGTAGCCTAACAGCTCCAGTTAAAGCAAAGGTTGCACATCACGCACATCACGGATGTTGGGATTCAAGACACTGATTGGCAGGAGATAAGAGTTGCCTTAGTTGAAGCAAATCCGTTAATTTAGCCCAGTTCCTGTGCAAACTGGGCTGTTGGGAGAGACGTGTTGAAGGCGAATGCTTTTGAGATGGGTAAATATAGAGGCGGAGAGATTTAAGGATGCCATTGCAGCTGCATTGCTCTTTCATGCCTTTGACTTGTATGTAACGCGCCATTAAGGAGACATTGAGTCGGACAGTCAATTGTCCAAATGTGTATTTTGAATGAAGAAATAAATAAACATATTGTCCCACTCAGAAAAATGGTTTTGAATTAAAAAGATTTAGAATCCTGATTGTTTAATGCCTGTGGGAGTAAACAGTTAAGGGAATTATGCTATTATGTTTTCCAATTAGCTCGCCAGTGGACGCACTGTAGTTAATAGTCCTCACATCCCTAACTTTCTAGGATACTTCCCCTTTTCACTATTCATTTTTGTTTTGCCACCTCGTCTACAGTCTGAAACTGCCTGCAAAGTGCTGCGGATTTTAAACAGCGGCAAAGGATAATTGCAGTGGCACACATATCATTCACACTTAGTGGTGTCCATTTGATATACAAGCCGCTTCTTCAAGGATGCTCTAAATAACAAGTCACGAGTTTCATGAGCTGCATGGACAAAGAGCAATAGCTCAAGCAGCGCACCATCAACCTCTTCCCTTTCCAACCCCTCCCCCTGGTGCACAGAAACAGACAGAACCTCCACCCCCACACCAAAAAGATGGTGCTTTCGTCTTCAGTGGCCATGTGTTTCAACTTCCTTCTTCTCAGAGACACATGATGAAACAAAAAAACAAGTTGCACAAGGGAAATCCAATAGGCTACAGGTGGCTCGGAAGCCGAGAACGATGGAGAGGTGTTCATTGTGAAACCTTTATGTATGTCCATATATATCTCCATATATATTTAATTAGATTTAACTAAGACTTCTGTCATCAAAGAAAATAATGCATAGTTAGGATCTCTTTGTATCACTGCATATGGATTTCGATGTGCTTTTTTTTGTCAAACGACAGAGAGCCAGGAAACGACAGAGAGCCAGTCTGTAATGTTTAAAGATGAGCTCGGTCTTACCGTCCTATCACGTGTCGCATGTCGGCCATCATCTCGGCGACTAAAGTGACAAAGTGATGTGTAAAACCAGATTCGCGGAGCTGATCTGTTGCTGTTGGACGAAGCCAGGTGCCATTCGGCATTCATGCAATTTGCAGTGTTTTCTGTGCGAAAAGGTTTTCCTGCAGAGTTTAGTGGAACAACATCAACAGGTGTGCAACGGCACCGCTTTTAACAACAGACTTTAGGCTACACGTGAATGACGGAAATAGACTTACACAAAGGCATGGTAGATGAACGCCCAGGCTCTCGGTCTCTCCAGCACGTTGTACAGGCAGTTCTGGAGCCGCCGGTAGTGCACGTTTCTCCGGCCGCTCTGCGCGCTGTATATGAGCGGCTTCCCCAGGAGGCTCAGCCGGGCCCCCTGCTTCCCCCTCAGGCTCTCCGACCCGGCACCACCTGCTGACAGCAAACCGTCTCCCGCGTTGTTCATCATCTTCCTTCCGTACTCGACATCTCTCATGCCGCAGCCTTCGGTTCGGTGCCCCGGCGACGTCCTCATCCAGAGCCCGGTGGCGCCTTCGTCTCCGCTGTGGTTGCGGGGCATGGCATCGCCGGAGTGGGCATCAAGTGCGCGGAGGTCTTCACCAGCATGCGCGTGGTGGGAGCGGCGCTCCGGACTGAACAGTGCCTTAAACGCGTGAGACGCGGTCTAATAGTCGCTGGCTGAGTGAGCTGCTTTACCGTCACACTTTGACCGCCCTCTTTCCTCTCGCATCTGGAGCCATTAACACCAATGCGCGCGTAACGGTATCCACGCGCCTTTGCGGCGTGCGCCAGTGTTACAAAATGTGTCCGTTGGAGCTGGAGGGTAGATTATTTTTTCGGGGGGGGGGGGGGGGGTGCAGCTCCGTTTCCAGTGCCGCCTGTTGCTTCAGTGCACAGCTGCGCGTCCACGCCAGATGATTGTCAGCGCGTAGCATAGATAAAGAGCTGGATTTGTATCTCACCCCCACATTGCTTAATAATAAAGCTTTCACAAACCCCACAGAGTTTTGGTCAGTGTTGATCAAGACAAATGGTAAACCATCGTTCCGTGTGCGGCGGCCTATTTCATTTCCCGAAAAAAGTTCCAAATTACACCACGTTGTGGTGATTTTCCATTTGGTCGGCAGAACCAACGACCGCTCACTTAACACCTGCAGAAAACATTACGCAGTAGCCAATTCACTTGTATGAAAAACATGTTGTAATACGCGTTGTGCAACCTTCGCTTTCATCAAGGCCTCGTTATTTTAAGGCTGCTGTCGTTAACAGCTGCATGATTGAGATACACATTTCTGATGTCTTATGATTCACATGTGAATCATTTATGATATATTAGAAATGCACAGTGAAGATTCGTGACCTGTATCGGTCTGTTCAGGGTGTGAAATCAATCAAAGTGTTTCGTTTGTGCTACAGTGGCACAAAAATGCCATTTCTGTCACGACTTGCGCGTGGACTTTCTCCTTCACAGGCGCACGTGCTCGCTTTTAGACTTCTTCTTCTTCACTTTACATCTGAAGGCTTTCTGATCAAACAAATATCTGTTTGCGAGAGCGTCCTCTTACAAACAGCTATTGGGCAAAAGGTTGCACTGGCTCGGTCATTTGGGCCGGACAGCTTTGTCGGAAGAGAGTCGGCATCTTGTCACTTGACAGGCGGCCAAAGATTACGGAAGTGTGAGTTCTTCTTTTTAGAAGCTGCGCGTGCGGGACTCGACCTCAGAGCCTTGACTGACTGAACACCTCCCCCTCTTTCAGCAAAACTACGCCATCTACTGGTGGTGCTGCAGCACCGCGCAGACTTTTACAGAAGAACTTCCAGCGGTTCTGATGCGAAATCTTCCATATCGCTCTCATTGCTGATTCTCATTTTGCTCTTTAAGTACATAATACAACATCACACAGTTTGATGGATGTTATGCGTAGTATTGGTGTTGCACTGAGTGACCATGTTATAGTTACTTTGCTCCTTTGCATTTTCAAATACTGTATCCTTTGCTCTGTTGCAATAAAAGGGAAGTAATCATCACCAAAAAAAGCCAATGCAGTGCAGCGAAACATTGTGCAACTTCATAGAACCTTTTAAATGACACTGGTTATCCCAACGTACCAAATGTGGCTGGAAAAGGGGGAAATAGACTTTTCTTGACCTTAGAAATGACTGTCCTCCATGCAAGGGTCCAGTTACTTGTTTTTCCGCGGTTTTCAAACCACATCGGTGGACAAAGTTCACACAGTAAAATCGTACAACATGTTTACATGACACAAACAAAGCACTGTATATGACATCATCAAAACAACAGCTGATCCAAACTCAAGTTGCTGATGAGACGTTGCTTTGTGGTTGACATCTCTTACACCAAGTACACCAAGTACCCACTTTGTTGGGTACACTATGTATATCCATGTAATCCAAAAACATAACATCCATCTTTACAAAGACTACTATATTGTCACACAATGGTGGGTCTAATTTTTGGGTTTTTCCAAAAAAACAATCATGGGGTTACGGGTGATACAAGAAATACAGGAGTGGAAACCTGACTGTCTACTTTAAAAAAAAGGAACTGAGGGCAAAAACTGGTTAAATGTAGTGTGACTGTGTATGTCTATGTAGGACTCAACCTTTCCTGTGTTCCTCTCGAGAGAACGCTGTGATGAGCTTGCAAACGGTGCAGTAATCATCTAATCTGGTCACATGATGGGCTGGCTTCCTGCAAACCGGCGCATGTCGCCTATAATACACTTTCAACAAATAAGACTCCAGAATGGAGAAATACCGCCTCGAAGTAAACCATATTCTCTAGAGACATGATTTGGCTCAAATCTAGATCTAGGTTTTATTTTGCTTTTATTGCCCAGTTTGTTTCCAAAAGTCATCTCAGTTGATAAGACACCAAAAAAAATGAGTCATTGTCGCTTTTTCCATCGATGTGCGTGACCATTGACCTGATTTGAAAGATTAACCCATTTCCTGGGAGCACTGTGGAAATTTCATCTTGGCCTCTGACATGTACATGGCTCTTTGGTTCTCTACTCCTGCCAAAGTCCATGTTCATGCTTTGTAGAAGGAGGTTGTGACCCCCCCGATGCTGTGACATGGGGGGGGGGGAGGACTGGGAGACCGGCTGGCGTGGCAGGCCTAGTGGGAGGGTTAGTCGCGATTGCATGCAGATGTTGTTTTGGGGGCCCTCTGCTTATTTAACGAGAGGATGTGGAACATAAATCTCCCAAGCCCTCTGCTGCACTGTATTACATGTGAGGTCACACATGAGGCCGCTTTGGTTGGACTTCCTCTTCAGTGAGACGTATTACAGCAGCAGAGGGCATTGAGTTTTGGTGTTGTATTAAATTGTTATTAGTACACGGCTGTCATCTGTTTAAATTACAATTAATATCACTTTACTGACATAATTTGGATAAGATACATAAAGGAATGACTACTCCTTCACAAGTATGCGACTCAAAATGTTACAGAAAGTTTAATATTCAATAGCAAATTACTGCTTAATATCATTAATGTAATATTTGATTCACAATGGAATAATACAACTGATGTGTTTTTCTCATGCAGATAACCATGCATTTTTCTATTTTCACTTATTACCACCCATTCAACACATTTTCAAACACACTTAAAGAGGGTATACAAATTGTAAGCCAAACGCACTGTAATATTTGCACTGTCCAAATGTCCTTTTCTCTTTCATGTTAGCCTCTCAATCGCTGCCCCTCGTGTTATCCAAAAGTGTATGTTCACCAGCTTGTTGCTAACTTTGTGTGTCTGCTGTTGCTGGTTTGGTAGCACACAATGGGCTTAAGATACAAGGTCCATGTGATACATGTAATACATTTACTGGCTATAAACCATAACCCGATTCAACCAAAGTGATGAATGTCAAATCTATGGCACCGAGGTCCTGTTTCTCTCAAAATAATTAAAAGCCATACATTTGAACATATTTAGTAAATACTGCAGTCAGATAGATGTAGCAGAATAAAGACTACAATATTAGATTTTCGAAATGTAGTGAGTGGAACTATTCATTTTCATGATTCAATCTAATAACCTAATACACTGTTGGAATAGGGAAAATATTAACATTAACACGTAAAATATCCCATTTAGAAATATGTTTTTCACTTTGTCCTTCAGATATCTTCAGGTCGAGTTTGAGGGAAACAGTGATAAGGCGAGTTCAGAGGCCGTTTTCTTTCACACATTCTTTTTATTTGTAAATAATAAAAATGAACCTTTTTTTTTTAAATATAAAACATACACATCATTTGAGCCACATCTGTTATACAAACAAGTAATGTTGCAGTGAATGCTTTACTTTTTTTATAATTCTCTTTTTGTTTCATTGGAACACAGAAGTTGTAAACAATCAGCAATTTTTTTCCTGTTAATACTGACAAAGAAAGAGAAAAGAAAAAACAGCTTCACCGGACGGTGAAAAGAAAAGTCAACTCATCTGAACATGGCCGGGGGGGTTCAGAACCACAAAGTGTTCAGACGGCGACTTTTAGACTAATGGTACACTCGTAGTCCGCCGCCGTTGTTTTATCCCGCTGCACGGTCCTGAATGACGTATTAATCGCTCCTCCTTGTGTGACTTGGACCCATTGCAATTATTACTGAACCCAATGAAATCCCGGGCAATGGCTGCTGCGTATTTACAGTGCGTGACTCTCTGTGCATCTGCAATACTCTTTATATATCTTAACAGTTCATGTGTTAGTGTATCTGAAATCATTATGTTGAAACATAATTCATATTTCCATATAAGTAGATCTGATTTATAGATATTTATTTATACATAATCTCAGCCCCGTGGAGGTCTCCTCTAATGTGGAATAACAGTAGGAAGGGCTTCGAGGTCCACTCAGCTCTTCTGTACAGTGCATCTCTCAGCAGGTCGAGGAAAGACATCAACGTAATCTTGGGATTTAGTTTCAGAGACATTCAGCACCGGACTGAGTGATGTGGACACGACTGCAGTTGTGTTAAAATGCCTCTGTGTGATGGGAATGGCTTCGGTTTCTTGGTTTCTATGTCTTTAATATTCAAGTACGAGCAAAACTGTACAACTGCATGCAACATACAAGCGGCCCTACAGTATGTGGAACTAACACACGTATCTAGTTCAGCATCTTCTTCTTTGTTTTTTTTTCTGTATCTGTTTTGTTTTACAAAAATGTGCATGCAGCTCTGAACAGGTTCCAAAGTCATGCTTTGGCCTCGCCGTGTTCCCGCTGGGAGGAGTCCTGCTGGCCGAACGGAGGTCGAGCATCGGCGACGTGACTCGGATCGGTCTAATCGGTTGCTTTCACATTCGCAGATATGCACGAAGCAACACTGGGTGTCATTCTTATTTTCCACTTAGTCTGTTTTCCAAACCACTTGACAAGGAAATGAATGGAACCGGTGAAAGGATTGTTGACTTTTTCCCCCTTTTTTTAACAACATGTTTTTCTGGTTTGTTTGTTTTTTTCAAAAAGTTAAACTTTTTGTTGTAAAAAAATCAAGCTCTTGTGCTTTTCTTTAAATTGCGAAATAATGCAAACTAAGGATTTGATAAAAACGTGCTGTGGTGAGGGAATGCATTCCCCAAAACGAAAATATTAAGGGGCCTCGCTTTTGCGTTTACTTTTTTTTTGTATTGTTTTACAGTGATGTTGAACAATGGGGATTTTTCAAAGTGACATAAATTGTATTTATTGGTCAACCTCCAGGGAGGCTTAATATACATCTATACAAAGACAACTGGCATGGACGTTTGGCCAGTGGTGAAACAAGGAAAACAACGTTGCACGCTAATCTCACTGTCAAAGTGTAAAATTCTAAACCATCATCATCTCCCCGCTGCATTAACACTTGCAGACATTAAACCGTTTTTTAAAATTCTATTGTGTTTAGTTTTTTTTTTTTCTCTCCATGCACACACCAGACTGACAACAATATCATGAGCATTTTACGTACTAAAAAACATTTTGTGCCGGTAGTAACAAGGGGAAAAGAAATAGGCAAGAAAGCAAACACGCTAAAACGGCGGCTTCGGAGAAGCCACGGTAAAGATTCTGAAAAGAGGATTTTCAACAGAGAGAAGGGACCAGTGATGCTGCTCCGTGGTCTAGGCACCAGAAGAAGGCCCTGTGCTTCCAGACTGAATACCAACACTGTTGCCAGCGCCCAGCCGGGGGGGGGGGGGGGCGGGAGCGCCGGCAGTCTGTTGGGGGTTCTGGAGGAGGCCACTGCAGATGGAGACTGCGTGGAGGGTGATTACCTCTGTCTCGAGTCCATACATTCCGATGCTTAACGTACATTTCTTTGCTATTTGTTGATTCAGTTAAAAATCACCCTGCTTTATTTGATTCCTTGTCGTTGTACCCCCGCCCCCCCCCTCCCTCTCCCTCCCTCTCCCTCCCTCTCTGGGAGCTACTTCTCGCTGCCTGTGGACGGCCCGGCTTCTTCAGCATACACAGAGAAAAATGATGACATTTTCCTGATGAATGTGACACACTGAAATGCGGTGCTCCCTATAACAAACAAATTTAACCCACGACAGGAGTGATTGTCAGATCTCAACAAAGCTTTCTGGTTGGGACGCCTCCGATTGTTCTTGTTGTTCTACATATCCGCCACCTTTTTTTTTGTTTTTGTTAGTCTTGTCTCTGAGTTTGTTACTTGTCGGGGGGAGGGGGGGTTGTAGAGGTGTTGGTCCACTATGACCGGACTCCAGGAGGTCCAGAGGAACTGTCGAGGGACGACTGGGAAGCCCGTCGCGTTAAGGAGGCAAGTGTCGGATCCACCAAGGATGACGGGGGGAACAACTTGTACCAGCCAATGACTGTGCTTGATAAGTCCAGCTCCTCCATTAGAATTTGTGCAACTCCCATGAAGCTTTTATGGTCCATGCGGCCGTAATCGCCCCATACAATCACCTTAAGGAAAAATGGTTTTCGTCAAATTACACATTGATCTAGTTTCTCCCACTATAACACATCAATCATTGTGAATTTGGAATACAACATTTGACTTTGTGATTTAAGATGGCTCACCTGTAAGACTTTACCCTGGGGGCTTTCCTCGAAAAGCAGGGCTTGTTGGTACAGTGGGTCAAGGGTTTTCCGTGCAATCTTGGTTTTCTTTTTGGCTACATAGGCTCCATTATTTAGCAGATAGACCTTGACATATGGAGCTGAAGGCAGACATAAAGCATAAAAGGGCCGGTTAGATAAGCTGGTTATGGGAAAGGAAGGTACAGAGCAAGCTTTGGCCATGTGCATCTAATTATTAATTGTAGAATGTACAGTTTATATACAGTATAACCCAATGGGAAGAGTGCATGATCGATGTATTGAGAGGGAGGAAAGGAGGGCGTAGTTGCTTTGTCGTATCTAAAGGATTGTCCCATTCTTACCAGGGAGGGATTTGGATCCCGGCTTCTGTACGAGTCCTCGAGCCCGGATAACTTCGACCTCCAGTTGACCCTTTTTCTCCATCATACCAATCTGGATGTCACCTGGGAAGCACAGAGACAGGAAAATAATATGTGTGTCATACAAAAGGAAGACATCAGGGGCATCTGCAAGTAGAGCATTAATACATAAAAAATAGACGGGTGGTAGTGACTGCAAACCTTTTATACCAACATACTGCATTATATTTATTACTGTTGTTTTTTGCATATGAGTAATTATCATAATATATGAATTACCTCGTCCTGTTTTAGTCTATGGATAGACTAGTTACATATCAAAGAAATAGAACAACAGTTTCATTTCATGTTTTTTATCACTATATTTTTTATTTTATTGTCATTAATAATGTCATTATTATTAATTATAATTATAATTATTTAAGTTCATCCAACTGCACTCCCTTGGAATCAAAAGGCACATGTGTAAACTAAAAACAAATACATTTTGAAATAAAGAAAATAAAAGCTGTATATATGAATAATAAAGTGTTTATCATTTATGTAAAAGTTTAGCAATAATGCATTGAAAGAAAATGAGGAATTAATTATTTGAAAACCTATACAAGGAGAGGAGCGTCAGAAAAAAGCTTGAGGAGCATCATCAGTATCTGACCTATTGCAGGAGTAGCCAGCGTTTGTCTTCCCACCAACTGGGCCGGTCCCAAGCCATCCAGGAAGTCACTGAACTGACTGCTGGCCCCCACATTGACTCCAGAGAAGATCAAACTATCACAGAAAGCACATCAACATTAATCAATTAATCATCACAATTGTCAATTATCCCCACACAGACTACATCTAGAATTCTGAACTCATCTTGCTGCTGTCAGGAGATGCTTTTGAAACATGAAAAACCTCTCAGAAATTGTGCAAGCAAGAGAATCAATGACAAAGAACACTGGGCCTTAATGTGATACGGTCAAAATATTGGAGTGGAGTGTGGTTGGATGGTTGGATAAAGAATGAAGTGTTGGGTTTACTGACTTCCCCTCGGAGTTGCAGCTGTTCATGCTGCCGTTGTTGGACTCTCTGCTGGGCTGGCGGCTCATGTTTCGGGTCAGTTCTACTGCCATGCCGGTCTCTGTGCTCCTTTGGATGGGTGCACCTTTCTCCTTCTTGCTCTTCCCCTCTGGATAAAAGGGGACAGAACAAATGTATTATGTGTAGTTATGAATATAATAATATCAATAATGTCTTTACACAATTTAGGTGTGAGGACGTTTATTCTCTTTCTTGAAAACAGTTATGTGAGAAGATACCGAATAGTGTTTTAATGTGAACAATCAGTGCAGCCTCACAGAATGTTTCATTTAGAACATGAAAAATCACAGATTAAGAAAAGGTTTCCAAATGGCAGCATAGACGGACTTCACGATGTCTGTTTCTGGAGCAAACTCAAAGTCACACCCATGTCCTGCTGAATCTGGTAATCACTGGTAAACAGGAAATGGTTGGGCAGAATAACCACCAGTGTGTGGCATCTCTGACTGGGATAAGTCCTCCTTTTGACTCATTATATTGGTCAAAAATGTAGCAGCATTTCTGAGCCTCCCTCTGCAATCTCAGCATGAGATTTTTCCTTCTTTGAGAATAAGTTTCATGCCTTTTCCCTCATCTATCATCTGAAGGAAAGATTTTTTTGGATGAAGGTTTATCTTTGAATCTCTCTACATCAGGAAGAGGCTTAATGTTCTGTAAACGAAGGAGTACAGTTTTTGTCCCCCCCCCCGGCCCCCAGACAATAATATGTGACTGGGAGCAAAGCTGCTGAGCCACAATGTTCTGAAACATGTTATTTCACATTGTTCTTTATGAAAAGCTCGTCGCGCACACAACAAAGAGACACTTCCGTCGGCGGTGCTCCGGTGCAGTCTGCTCATCGGGAAAAAAAAATACATAATTGCAGACAGATAACAGGTTGAGTAAATTAAATTAAGTTTAATTGGCGTATTTAAAATGTATAGAGAAAGACAATGAGTAATTGTGCCACGTGGACATCTGAAATAACTAGCGGGATACACAGTCAGCGGTGAAAAGGTCCACCATGGCAACTCACCGGGGCCACTGATCTGCGAGGTGCTGCGACTGCGGCGGTTGCCAACGATGGCCACCACTCGCGCGCTGAGGCTGGAGCGTCTCTTCTTGCTGCCGCCACCCACCGTGCCCAGCGCCGTGTCGGATTGGCTGCCGTCCGTGCGCTCCTGGGTGTAGATCTCTCCGCTCACGCTGGAGCTCTTCAGCATGCTGCGGCCAGCCGACGACCGCATCTGCCGACTGGAGCGAGAGAGAGAGAGAGAGAGAGAGAGCGAGAGAGAGAGAGAGAGAGAAGACGCTGAGTGACACTGTGATCTGGTGTAATGAGACCGAGCTGTTGTCAAGGTTTCAGAAACAGTTGTTGAGTTGACAAGAAGAAGTGCACACTTGTAATATTTCAAACTACCTGTTGTTGAGGAGTTGTTTAATGCTTAATCACACTACATCTGAATTAAAACAGAAAACACCTGGTATCCAACAGAAGGTCAATGATGAGGACATATCTTACCAAATTGGAAAGACATGTTAAAAGGATTGCAAAGCTGATAATCATGTCATGTATTAAAGTTCATTCATTCTCCAACAAGCCACTACACCCGGACAGAAGCCCGCCCAGCGATCGACGCTGCCTCCGAGGTGTTCGGATGAGCCCCCGAATGTCCGTCCCCTCAAAGGGGGTGAAAGTGCTGCAAGAGAGCCCAGCTATGCTGCCCCTATCCCCCATAGCGCCGACTCCCGGGGGGGCCCTAACATTCACAGTCCAGTGGGCCAGGGGGTCCAGTGATAGACTGGAAAGGGGGAGGGTGGTTTGAGGCCTCTCAGCTGACCCCTGCGGGGGGGTTAAGGAAAGGCGCGCAGCGGAGGGGGAGGATCGGAGGGGAGGGTCCGGGTCTGGAGGATGGGTGAGGTCCTGGCTGTCACAACACAGGACGCATGCAAGGAGGGATCTGAGACATGCGGAGGGGATTTCACACACATACACAGAAAACAAGAGCCAAATATGAAAAACACAAATGAAAAACAACATTTAAAAAAATGAAAATTGTATAAAATGTACAGTTTTGGATGTATGTGTAATCTTTAGAAAAATAGTCGTGTCATATGGAACGTTGGAAAACGTCTATGTGGTTTAATTCTGAAATATATTTTCATCCAACAGCAAGAGATGATACGTATGTGCAAATTAATGTAATAGAAGATGGATAATCTGAAGATTAATTTCAATCAATTGGAGAGAAGGAACAAACATTTATGTTCAAAGAATTCTATGAAACTGATGAGCAGTTGATCAAAACTATAAGCAAGGAATTGGTTGAAAAGAATAAGTAATACATGAAGATGGAAGAAGGATAGAAGAGATTCCATTCCTGTACAGTGGGTACTCAGTCACCTCCTTTATCCAACTGGCCTGAAGCAGATGTGAGTATGTTCCTCTGAGGGAAAGCTAACCCGAGGCCAGCCCCCCCCCCCTGTTCATCACTGTCTTACCAACTATTTGCTTAAAAAAATACAGCTAAATCAGCAATGTTAGTCTCATTTCATAAATGGTAAGATGCTTTTGTAAAATAAAAAATGTGTTTTACTGTTTCTCTGATCACAGCCTTAGAAAACAAGGCTATATTTGGGCATCCTACACGATTGGCCGTATGCTTGTGGTAGGGTTTGTTTTTTGTTTTTGAGGAATATTAATATAAAGAATAAATCTTTTTTTATCTGTATAAAACTGTCTCCCGCTCTCGCGTGCACACCTCTGAATCTAGAAAGTGTGTCAAGGGCCGTGGGGCTTTGCTTTTCTAACACTCTGTTTGGATTGATCTGTGCTAAAGCCATTAAGACCGGGGCCGCTCTCGCTTCTTCTCCCAGACCTCAATACATTAACCAGCTAATAAGCTGCACTACATCAACACTTGGCCCGCTGACGTCCACTGGGATAGGGTCGTTTGTTCCTGTCAGCACACTGCTGCTGGTCAGCCAGGGATGTGTGCGTCGCCTTTGTGTGTTAAAGTGTGTGCACATACAGAGGGATCCTTTGTGAGTTTCTACTTTTTAATAAATTATTTACTTATATTTTTGCAAATGTTTTGCTATAGTTTAGGTGTTTTTAATTTGCGATTGTGATTTATGATTTAATGGTATGCACTATGCAAAATCTATATTAATTTATTTTTTATATTCAAAGGCAAATTACAAAACAAAGCCTTAACCTTGCTGTATGGTTTATTGCACTACCAAAATGGTAAAGAAACCAGAAGTTCACCACAAGTGGTGTTGTTAAAATTTCAGTCCTTCGTTTCATATTTTGGTGTGAATAGTTTTCCCCTCGGGTAGGCGGGTGTCTTTATGGCTTACATTAAAATTCATTCATTCAAAATGCAACACGATTGCATTCTACATAAGGTCCTGGTATTTCTAATTCATCAGGGTTGAGGAGGACTGTTATTGACAAATGAAATCATTATGTGGAAAGTCAGTGGAGTTCCCCTTTTATAAATCACTTAATGGTTTAGGGCCAAAATACATTTCCGACATGATGCTACATTACGAACCATCAAGACCCCTCGGGTCGTCTGGGACGCGACGCGTCTCGTTTCTGTTCCGAGGTTCAGAACCAGACATGGAGCAGTGTTCAGTTTTCACAAATCTCGAACAAACTCCTGGGAAGCTGCAGGTCTCTTCTGAAGTCTTTTCTGTTTGCCGCTGCTTTTAGTTAGTAGATTCAGGGATGAAGTGGATGTTTTTACTGTTTATCTGATAAACTGAACTGCATCTTTTATTTTATTTCGAGCGTGTTTAATGTTTTGGATGCCCGTTTTTACTTAAATGTTTTAAAATGTAATTTACTTTTACATGATGTTGTGATGGTTTTAATCGTTTTATGTGAAGCACTTTGAACTGTCGTGTTGTTGAAATAGACTATAGACATACACTTGCCTTGCCTGGCTGTCTTTAAACGAATGGGGGATTTAAGGAATCTATCGTGGGGATCCAGATCTGGTTATTCAGTAAGAAGATGGATTGTCCGCCATCATTAGTAAATTCACCATTGGGGATCTATTGATCGTTACCTGGACTCGCTGGTGTCTCCAGCTACAGTGTGTCTCCGGCGCTTCAGCTCCTCAGAGAATCGTCTCTTCCCTGCAGCCCTGCTCCTGTCCTCCTCTCCATTCAACCCCCACGAGATCCTCCTTTCCCTCCTCTCCTCCTCTAACGACTTGGATCTGAGTTTGATTTGTTTCGATTTTCACCATTCAGTGTATGTGTGTGTGTGTGTTGGTGTGCGCGTGGGTGTGGAAAAAGGAGATAAAACATGCACAAGGACCGAAACATGCAGCAGTTGGCATGCAGAAATAAAACAAAGAGAGAAACATAATTAGCATGCGTGTAATATGCAAAGACGAAGATGATATTGAGTGGCTGGATTTAAAGAGTGACCAACGTGACCAACAGCGAACGAGGAGCTGACCTGAGTCGTCCTCCGGGTCGTTCTGATTGGATGGACATGTAGCTGGTGCTACTGAGACGGGAGGCACTGCTGGCTCGGGAGAGGGCCGACGCGTCGCTCATGTCACTGTCGGACGATCTGGCCGACATGTTGTCGCTGCTACGCCTCTGTTCTGCGTACATCTACGGACGGAGGCGGAAAGGGGTGGGGGGCGGGAATTAGGATAATACTGAAGATGACAACAGAAAAATAGGATGTGAAGATCGACTGAAAAACTGGCCAACCTCCCGTTTGGTCTTGAGGTCCATCTCGGGGTCGTGGGAAGCTGAAGGCCGGTAGGAATGTACTTTCACCTGCAGTTGTCGGGCTCGCTCTTCTACTGCGAGGGCTGAGAAGAAAGAGACCAAAACAAGGTAAAAAAAAAAAAAAGATGCAGCATCTAGTTTCTGACACTAGATGGGAGCATATTGTGTACTGATCAGACAGAGGGGTAAACCTTCCTTGGGGTTTGCCCAAAGGGGATTGAAAATGGTTTGCTTTTCCCCCCCCCCCCCCCCCCACTCCCGATTTGTGAAACCAAACCCGAGGACAACATACCTTGCTCTATGCTGCTGCTTTTAGCAGGGAGCTGAGGCAGCTGCCTCCCCCTGCGACCTGATGAGGGCGTCCCCGATGGAGAAGAGGGGCTGCCGTGAGGGTGGGCTCTGAAACAAGCACACAAAGACACAAAGCAGGTATAAAAGAAGCCACATCATTATAGCTGTTTTCTACCCTAAATGAAGTCAAAGCCCCCAAAACTGAATCACAGAGAGAATAAAGTGATGCTCAGTAATGTAGGTCAAAGATCAAGGTAGGGGAGGAATAGATCCAAATAAGTAAAGGAGCAGTAGAAGTAAAGGAAGTGGCACTGAGTGTGTTTACAGACGATATGCACAGTATCTGAGTTTTTCTATCTTTCCCCTCTATGCTATACTTTACATCAAGGTACTCAACATTTACAAAAACTACCTAAACCAGTAAAATATATTCACATCACTACCTCAAATAACATAGTTGATATCGGTCTTTCTTGCAATTGACTTTAATGTGACCTTGACTCCTTGAGATGTGACACTGGTGCATAAAGCATTGCCACACTCAGTGTGATATCGGCACACAGGGGAGTGGAGGCGTAGCGCTGACTGTAGCATGCACCTTTCTAGCCGTGGCGAGTTTGGGCCGGACCCGGCCAAGGCTGTCTGGCCAAAGGGCCTCAGCGGACCCCCTCTCCCCCTACTGCCCCTCAGGATAGAGGTGGGCTGGATTCGACTGCCATCAGCAAATACAAAGAAAATGAAAATATAGAACCTTATAAATACAATAAAATGAAATCAAATGGAATTTTGAGTAAGCACGTCGTAGATATTTCTTCTTAAGCTAAATTTGATTTACTTTACTGTCAGTAATATTGGTCTGGAATCTGTTTTGCGTCCCAAGACGTACAATGTTTTACATACAGAAGAAAACACAACATACGATATAACCAAGCAACCCAAACATAATCACTAGATCTCAAAAATAGCTCCGTTTTACATTTCTTAGAACCTTTTTTTGAAAGAAAGTAAATGTGTTGTTGTGCAACAGAATATAGAATATATATATATATATATATATATATATATATATATATATATATATATATATATATAGTTGTAACAAATTAATGGTAATACTAAATCAGAAGAGGTTTATTCTCAATCATGTTTCCAATATGTTTCTGCATAGCGTTACAAGGGGGCATGTATTTTTATTTTCAGCCAGCGGTCAAGTCTTTGTGCTGTATAAGTTGTGACTTCAAAGAAGAAGAAAAAAAATCAATAACCAGTCAATAACAACAACCAGTCACAGACGGTGGATATCATCCCTCCAGCGAGAGGAGAAAAAGCAGCCGTAATGAGAAGAGATTAAATAAGGCGAGCCGGTGAGTGAGTGAATGAATGAATGATCTTACCTGTCCCCCTCCAGGCTTCCCTTGCTGGCCCTGTGACAGTTTGGACTTGATGAATTGCTACACTGCCTGTTTTGGCAAACAGCAACAACATAGACAGAGAGGAAAAAAAAAAACACAATATGGAGAGTGACAAGCCACAGAATGGAAAAACTGAATACTGACTGATGTTCTGGATTTAATGTAGAAGGCATGTTTTCTTTTTTTTGCGGTTTGCATAAGAAATAGAGCTGAGAATTGTGCATTCCATAAACATTATTTCCTACCAGCTAAAGTGTTAGCAGAAAAGAAAAAGCGCTTTCAAGCCAGGGGGGGAAATTCAGAAGGGGCGCTCAACAGAAAGGGCAGGTGGAGGGATTACACAGCTTTAGACGACAAATATTTACAGGGGAAAGGCGACAGGCGTAAGATCTGCACAACACTGTCGCTTTAGATTTAGCGCTAGGCTACAGGATGTGCTTTGAAGGCAGGAAAGCGGAGCTGCAGAGCAGTAGCGTCGTGGTTTAAGAGTTGGAGGCAGCATGAGGGGGCGGGCGGGCCTGGTATACCTGTCTTCCTCAGGGGCCACATGTTCTACTAAGATCCGGGGGCTTGGGGGAGTCTTGAGGGGCAAAGAGTTGGAGCACCTAGAGGGGCGGCCGGGGTGGAGGAGGAGCATCCAAAAGGTGGGAACACCGGGAGAGGTCGTTAGTGAGTAAAGGTTCTGAAATTATAACTTGTCTTTGAATTTGGCGGCAGAATATCAGTGAAAAGATTCAGCTTGACTAGACTGATAATTACTGTACAAAGCAACCCTCTCTTAATAATTATGTTCTAATACAACTGAACTTCATAATAGATAGTTATGAATAGAAACATAACTACTTGGTTAGGTTTAGTGAAATACCACGGCTTGGGTTTCCATAAGTAGGCCTGTTACGTGGCTAAAGTTAGGTACACAAGTTGTATGCGTTCCTTAAGATAATTCATGTGGGACACCGCAAAAGAAAATTAAATCCATGAGAAAATGCTCTTCCCTTTTTGACAATGCAGTTTTATGTCTGAGAAGACAATTTTACTACTAATACTATTTTTTACAAGGAATAGGGTGACATGTTGGGAAATACATTGTATCTCTTGCTTACTGACAGTCAGAAAACAGTAAGCTTGGCATTAGAAAAACAATAAAACGGAGCCAGGTGCATTGTTCTACCGCTGTTATCTGTCTTTTATGAACACCTTCTCATTTGACTACACTCATCTGTTAGCTTTGTAACCTGCGCTGTCATTTTTTTAGACCCTAATTATTCCTTGCAGAACATTACTGAAAGGAAATTACAAATTCAAATAGCAGGTAGACGATTTTCAATGGGAGTGTGCAATGCGTATTCCCTCACATATGAAACGGACACATGACATGAACTGGCGTAAAGAGACATGCAGCACCCTCAATGCCAAATGTTGAATGGTTCCCACATGCAGCCCAGAAAATCTGATGAAACTTCAGCGGAGTCTATAATCCCTGTTTTTGTTAATTTATCTTTTATATAAAATGTCAGAATGTTGTGCTCATTAAATGTACTTGATCCATCACCCGCATTCAACATGTGTGGATTTCTTTCTCTACCTGTCTCTGTCAGGGGACTGAAAGTTGGTGTCTGGTCTCAGACAAGTGGTGCTGGCACTCCTCACTCTGTCCAACGGCGGCTGCAGGTCGCTGCACCACCACAACATGGCAGCAGAGACAGAGAGAAAGGAGATAAAAGAGACAGAGATGGAAGACAAGATGCACAAGAACAGAGGGCGGGAGGAAGAAGAGTTTGTGAATAATAACAAAAAGGGGGGGATGACCGGGAGGTAGGTGAAAGTAAATGCAATAAAAAAAGTGAGAAAAAGGAGGATAATGTGAAGGAAAAGATTAGAAAAGAGGCAGAAAGGAAATTGAGGGAGAGACACAGAAAAAAATAAGGAGGGCCATCAGACAAACAGTGCAGTAACATGTAATGGCTCTGATACTGTATCTTCATTTATCATAGGCAGCCATTCCTCGCGGCTGTACTCTGTGAGACCACTCAGATGGAAGGTTGGTGAGTTGCTATGGGAACCAGGTGGCAGAGGGGCCTGCTAGTAAGTGAGTGAGGGGGAGAATGAGTGAAGCAGAGAGAGCCGGCCAGCGTTCCCGTTTACTCCCGGCTACGTTTGCCACGTCACGCTGCATCGTGACAGCAGTAGCTTTCAACAGATGTCTGGCTCTGTGTCATCGCATGACGTTGCACATAATGTTTTCAGGCCAAATGCCTCACACTGACAAGGGCTTAGGATTTAGTATTTGCTTAATGCTCTGCACGGAGACGCTTAACTCTCTTCCATTGCATTGTCATCCTCCGGGGAAAAAAAAAAAAGCGATAAGGCGCGGCGGAAGAGCGGGTAGATGGTGTGCGAAGTCGGTGTGTTCTTACCTAACCGTGACCTCATCAGTGAACCTGAGCACACGGTGAGTAAGGATGCTACGAGGCATGGTGCTGCCACCTTCCTGCCTGAGAGGGGGCTTTCTCTTTAGGCATGCTGGGAGGGTGGAGCTGTGCGCCGGAGCACCGCCCACAAGAGGTGGGGGAAAGACCGCGTGCAAAGGAAGGCAAAGGAAAACAAAAATGACACATGCAACTGACAGAAATACGCAGAGGCAAAGTAAGTGAAAGGGGAAGATAACACAAGCGTGAAACTGTGCGGGCTTCTTGAAAATGATGAGGAGAGACAAAGAAGCAGCATCTTCAGCATCACACTAAGGCGCAAGAAAAAAAAAGATGTTGTTTTTTTCTCACCATAGCCAATTTACAAGAAAAAAAAAGATCAGATCAGAAATGTGCCTGCTGTGTGATGCTGGTTATCAACAAAAACGCCACACACGGAAAACCACTAAACGAACACATGAGATGAAGTGCATCCGCCCATCTGTGACCTCAGAATGAGGGAATCGTTACGTAATAAAGTAGAGAGAGTTCCTCTCGCCCTCCCTGTGGATTGACCCCACATTAGATTACATGTAATGCTGATTATATACCACAATCTACAGATCTAGAGCCATCTGGCAAGGAAACCGAGCTACAGTAGATCTGTATAATGTGCAGGAGTGCCACGAAAAGGATCAGAGCAGAATAAAGCAAAATGGACAAAATTGCTGATGCAGGTCTGTCTGTCAGGTGGTTATATATGTTGGTAGAGAAAATAAAAAGTAATGGTATGCTACATATCAATATACACTATAACCCCAGTATCATAATCTGATAAAAATGTTGAAGAACAATACAGGTGAATTTGCATGTTTTAGCTCATTAACTGCAATCAGATATCGCACACATTTGTTACATTTTGTTGACTATTTGTAAACTAAAGGTTCGCAAACAGATCCTCACATGGTCCATTTGACTCAGCCGAACGTCACAAAACAGCAGTTCATTAACGGTTGCCGTCAACTACGTCCAGTTATTTTATTCAGTCTAGGCTCGTAACCTAAGCTTTCTATTTTAAAGAAATTATGTCTTCTTATGATGATGTTTTTATAGACGTGACAACGGAGACAAGTGGGACATTACACTTTAAAAGTTGTGTAGCTAATTTACCTTGACATAAAGAGTCAACACTATTCTTTTACCAGTAGCACAATTTTAATGGTGTTTTTGGTCGTCTTGCCTGGTACATTAACTGTGCGAATAACTTCAATTTCAACCTTAAAGGCAGGAAAAGTGTCGCAAAAATGTCTCAGAAAACCATCAGAAGTGATGTAAAGTGTATGTGGTTTGTGGCTGATGGACTACAACATTGGAGAGCAGAAGTATGGTCTGTTAAAGGGTTGCATGACAAAACTCCACAACACTCTGAGCAAAGCAAACACGAGCAGCACAGTGGTCTTGAGGAGCCATTTGGGCAGTTACTGTATTGAGAGAACATTACTGCAAACTAAATGACCCACCAACTCCACAAATGAGTATGACAAAGCTGGAGAGGCACGGAGAAGGGAATGCAAGACTGCCTGTCACTGGAAATGCTTACCTGTAAATGTCTTTATGGATACCGTTTACTAACAGGGGCATTTTGGGGGGTAGGGTGTTGCTGTATCTACCTATGCCCCTGGTTGTACCAGTAGAGTTCATGCATCGTAAAGCAAGGCAAGAAAAAAAAAAAAAAGTGGGAAAATATACAACTTCTGTGAGTGAACACATCAAATTCAATAAAATAAATGAATCAAAAGAGCTTTGCCTTATTTGAGGTCAACCACCCAGCAGGTCTCTAATCCCCTCACACAGTGATCACCATGTTGTGTGTGCTTTTATGAGACAGTGATACCAATTCATGTCCCATTGCTACAACGTTTTAGTGCGTTTTTGTTTTCCATGAGCCCACATACATTCTGAAAATGTCAACATGTGTTAAGATGAAGTTGTTAAAGAATACTGGGAATGGATATAAAATAAAAGGGCATATTTCATTGAAATAAAGCTAAGTGGTGGTTGTTGTCCCTTTTTTATTATCATTTTTACCTGTTTGTGTGCAGGCACTCGGCACTCCCGCCACGGATAGACCTGTGCATCTCCAGGACCTCACTGTCATTGCCATGACGATGGGTAAACAAATGACAAACAACCCGAGAAAACACAACAGAAGAGGATGGCAACTCAGACAGGTAAAGTGAATTCATGAATGAGAGAAACCAGGAAATCTAAAATCTGAGATTTCAATTCAATCTGCAATGTTGCAATGAATAGTTTCACATTGTTAGTAGTATGAGTAGAAATTGGTTTGGCAATATCACATTGCACATATTAATCGACCAAAACAGGTAACCGCACTTATTTTGCACAGAAGACCCCACCAGGAGCCCGGATCCAAAGCGTGGGGCATCTTATTCTTTCAGTGATGGATTGGATTGTGTTACGTGGGCTTGTATAAAGTAATTATCCACAGTCAGTGTATTTACCTACACTGGATGGCAGCCGGCATGCACCCAGTTTGGAGAAACAGACATGAATACCAGCACAGAAGCAAAGCAATGCACCGCTGCGGACAGTGGCGGCAGGCAGACTTATTTTGGCTGCCCTAAATTAATCAATAGCAGCTTAAGTGTATGCTATATTTAGAATATTTACTCCACATTGCATTACCGCCAGGCAGCCTTTTTTCTGATGAGGCAGTTGAAGCCGTTATCAATGCTCTGTTCAAAGCCTCCGGACGCCTCTCACAACACCAGCGATTTTGCTGCAGAACACAGGACACGTCGGTCTGCCTCTGCCTCAATCCACACGAAGATGAACAAACTAACCAACGGATGCAGCAGTAGACCTGCAAACTCCAGTGTTGTGGAGGGTAAAATTGCATTGAAGAGAGCATAGAGTGGTATGACGGCTCCAGTGCGCCTTTGAGAAGGGCGATCTTACTGCCTGAAAATAAGATATCATGAGCTGCAGGTGGGTTTATAGATTCCTTTGTTCTAGCTGGTAATCCAGCCTTCTTTCTCTGGAACGCCGCCTGCAATGTAGTCATAAACTACATCATAAAATCCAAATCTATCCCATTGAATGATCCTTAACAAGTAAAAAGCAAACCAAAACATATTCATGACCCCATTCCGTGACAGTCATGATGCCCACAGATCCCAACAACAGGTTACCTGTCCTCTGAGTACTCGTAGTCCGAGTCACCCGAGCGCTGGTGCTCTAAGCGGGAGTCGTGGTAGCGGAGGGTTGAGTGGGAGTGGTGGCTATTCTGGTGGATCTCATCCAGGCTCCTGAAGAAATAGAAAAATCTCTATTTAAATTGATATTTTATTCTGGTTTGTAGGGTTAGGGCTGCAAAATGAGGAGCTGTGCAGATGTTCTGATATTCTTGCCTGGATTATGGATATAAATGGGAGACTTTCAACAAGAATAACCATGCAATGTTTTCTTCTTATTTTTATTAAACATTATTAGATTTAGAAAAAACGTGCCTGTGCAAAATAATTGATCTATCGTAAATATATATATATATATATATATATATATATATATATATATATATATATATATATATACATATTTCTTTTCACTCACAAATTATTACCAACTGCTTTTGACATCTTTTTTATTACTGTTAACGTACGATCAATGAAACTCCACACGTTCTGCACAGGTAAATATTGAAATCATTCCTGTGGGCACAAAGGGCATGATTGCTCCTTTTTCATTTAATAAATTAATTAGTTGAAGTAGTACTACTACTGAGCCACTGTAATACAGCGTAATCCGTTCAGCCTCATGTTTATTGCGTGGTCATTCCTAGTGACCATGTTGGCCACCTCACAAATCAAGAATATACATTAGGCCTAATCGGGCCTTAAAAAAACAGAACGTCTGAGGAAGTGACAGCATTTCTATAGAGTAAATTGAGTAACATCACACAACCTCATGTTGTTGTTGACATGATTCAGTCTGGTTTGCCATAATAAATAAACTTCCCTATAATTAAATATCAGTTAAGAGGTATAACTGAAGCTAATAATGTAAAAAGTACAACTGAACCTACTAATGCTGGAATATTGATGGACAACACACAGCGCTCACCAGGTTGTTCTGTCCGGTGTTACTGACCTTTGCATGGGCACGTGTGCAGGTCGTGACCGAGCCCTGCAGGAGTCCTCTCTGTGGGGAGACACGGACCGGGAGCGGTGCTGGACGGGCCGCTGCTGCTCAGGCACAGCCAGCGTACTGCCCCGCTCTCTCTCCCTGGAGTTACGCTCTGCACCTACACACATATAAACACACACACACACACACACACGCACAAACACCGATCCAGCATCCCACACACAAGGGCAAAAGAAAGTACAATTCACACATACACACATACACGCATACATTCATACAATCACGTTTGTGGATTCAATGGTGCACACATAGAAACACACAAACAGACACACACACACATCCAGGCATTAGAGGTGTGTTTTCTTTTAATAAGGATGCACCAGTTGTAAGCTACTGACTACCACTACAGATGCCAATCTCTTTCAGACTGTAGAACATCACGTTCGGATGTTTTACAGTTTAGTTAACATGTGAGCTTGCCTGAGTAGCTGACTGTTTCTGCAATGTCTCTGTCAGACCCGAGATCAGTGAGATTTACATCTCGCCGTTCTTGTTTTTATCTGCTTCGGGGGCCAGATGAGGTGAGAGTTATGACTGAGAGGTGCTACAGCCACGTAGAATAGGTAACCGCAAGATGCTTTTTTTACACTATTTAAAGTTAAAGTGGCTAAAGTTGGGCTGAACAATAGTTGTTTTTTTTAAACATCATTACAATGTCAACTTGCACAACAAACACATCATACAATTTAAGAGTGAATTATTTTGTTAATTGGTGCCTTTTGTATTTGGTTCAATTTGATTCATGTAATTCAAGCAGTATACTGAAACCAGTAGAACGTCAGAAACTGAGAACAAAAAGTAAAATTGTTAACGCAATATTGAACATTACTGCATTCGTATTACTCTATCTTTAACATCTAAAAGCCATGTGGCACTTGGAAAACACCAAAGCCAGATTATAAAAAAGTATGACTATTTTAAACAGTCAACATTCAGCTGACAGGGACCGAAGCCACAGCGGAAGCAGTCAAACAACAATAATACATATTCAGCTTCTACTCTACATGTTCGGTTGTACTTTGCATGCACGGGAATGGCAGGAAACTGAGTGGAATGGCAGTGAACAACTGCAGCTCTACAGTCTAACATGCACTCAGTGCTTCAGTGCTTCTATGGCCCAGCAGAGGAGGAGGAACTGTTCACTGCAGCCTCAGCCGCTGTAAACGCCGCACACTACAACACTGGAATTCGAAATAGGCAGTCGTAGAAATATGATGAATTGCAAAGCGTTCGCCTTTAGCTGATACGGGCAAATGTTAACTAGTTTTATTTTGGGTACAATTTGTTCCAGTGGAGCCAAAGTGGGGCTGAAGGATGCGAGGAAGATGCTCTCTCAAACCAGCGCTGGGCCCCTACAGGCTAATACGAGGAGATGCTCAGTAACCATGACCCCCACCCACCTTTAGTTACTACCATCAAACCATCATCAAACTCTGTATCAATGATGCGATGAGACCCTGTACACACACACACACACACACACACGTACAGGACAGGGTAAGGCTGAGAGGTTGTGAATGTTAGTCCCCCCACACTGAGAGACACGAAAGAGAAAGCTAAGCAAAGGAAAGGAAAGGTTAGCAACCAAGCACCCAGTAGGACTCAATTTTGACAAAACAGGGTGAGTCATACATACACACACAAAACTTATAAATACACACAGTATTAAAAAAAAACCTCTATGTAGAAAGACATACTCTGTAGCTTCTTGCTGGGGCTGTCTCCGTGGACGTGTCTGCGTGGGAGGTACGGGGAGGGCTGGGGCAGAGGTATGGAGGACATGTCATGCGCTTGCAGTTTATACCAATGAGGAATGTCATCCAGCAGGGCCGTCTCCAGCTCTATCAGGATCTGAGAGAGCATAGAAAGGTTTAATCATATTGTATTATGTATTATAAACATATATTGCCATGTGGCTTTGTTGCGCATTTCCTGTAATTATCTTATGGTTAGAATGAGTCCTTTATATCTGCATAGAGAACCCGTCCTCCTCACAAACCAAGCTCCGGTTTCGGGGGAGCCGCTGATCGTGGAGTAACATGATATAATAACATACACAATTGCTTGCATTTGCCTTGCTTGCAATAACGTATGCGTTGAATGTGTGTCGCACCTCTCCCAGGAATTCACTCTCCTCCTCCTGGACTCTGGGCTGGTCCCAGACTGTGATCTCCAGCATGCGCTCTCTGAAGTCCCGCCGGTGGACGTGGGAGTACAGGAAGGTCTGGTTCCACTTGGGTTCAACGCTCTTCTTCACCGTTTTCGTCCGCCGTTTACTCTTATCGCTAACAGAGGCGTGTGCAAAAACAGTTTTAAAGTACAAGAGCAAGGCGTGTTTCTGAAAAGGACTGTAAAAGATCAAATGTTGATGTGCTGTACATATGAAATACACGACCGCACCTCCTATCAGGCAGGAAGTACATCTTGACGTAGGGGTTACGAGGTCGTCCGTCCGGTCGGGGTGGCAGATCTATGGCTTGAAGGACGTTGACGATCAACTGATGACCCACTTTGTCGTACCACAGCTTCACCTGTGAACGTTTTTGAGAGGGCTCTTAGCCTCCATCTGTACCTCTATCGATCCACAGGAAGCACTCCGTCTCAGTTTAACGCACTCGCACTCCCAAAATGTCCCATTGGGATCTTACAGACACAACCAGCAGTCTCCTGGGTGGAAATCTTCTTTGTCGCTCTTTATACTGTGTGCCCTGTTCAGATACTCACAGAGAGCTGTCCAGGCAGTACCAGAGGAAGGTCTCGGAGGGTCCCTGGGCTGGTGGGAGACATTACTGATATGGAGGGCCGCTCCATCTTTTGGGACTCGAAGGAACTGGATCCTGCTGTTGGCCCGAGACCAACGGATGTTGGAGTTAAAGCATACTTTGTACATGTAAGGGGGTGTATTTCTACTACATTAGCAGTATAGAATGTTAATAACAGTAGAGTACATAGCCAATAAAGCTTTACATATTAACACTTACTGGATTCTAGAGGAGGGTGAGATGACTCTGGGATTCTTGGGATGTCTCTGTAAAGAGAGTCAGGGAATTATTTATGAATGCACAGGATATCTTTCAAGACACTTGAAGTGTTAATTCACAGTCAATACTTTAGTGTGCATTCATCTTTATAAAATGAATGAGGAACAGATTCATGTCAACAAAAAGAAGAGCGAGCAGTCAATCAAACACAGGTTCACATGTCAGGCGTGTCAGGGAGGAGAGGAGGAAGGAATCGCTGGAAAGAAAGGATTCATCTCTTGGATCTCAGGATTTCCAGGAAGGCGTAAGGAAAAGGGTCCACCCATTAAATCAGCATTACTTACTGATATGCTCTATACACTTTTCTCAAGAAGTTTTTCGACATAATTCTGTTGATAGAGCTTTGAGATAAAGGAGGGAAATATATTGGAAGTGTCTGTCAATGGCGTCTCTTAAGTACTTTACTGACCGTTGAAATACATTTAAAACTTTAATCTTACCCAATAGGTCTTGAAACTACTATTTCCACTTGAGATTCAGCCTTGGATTCAAGGATAATGTTGTATACTTCTTTCTTAGTTGCTCCCGGCAACGACTTTCCATTCCACTGCAGCACCTCGTCACCTTGAACCAAGATCACAAGAACACACATTGATGATCCAGCCTGAGGCCCATGGGGTAGTATATTTTACTAGAAAAGGACAGGGAACGAAAATCGCACATCTTAATATCCAAATTCTCCCCACGTCAGATGAATTATAGACTTTAATGCTCCTACAATCTGCAGAAGTGACCCGTGGCTGGATTTGAAAGGTCAAATTTGCTCAGGAAGGTTCCGAACTGAGTGAAATGACCTGGAAGTAGTGGAAGTGGAATAGACTTCAATAGAGGTCATTTTTTTTAAAAAGTCGTATCCAGCCTGTGACATCTTTAAACTTTTCCCCTGTCCCAAAAAGACCAGGTCTTTGAAAGAGTTCACCCCCTGTACCCCCTTAGTACGGGTGCGCGCCTCCCTTTGAGTGCGGCAAGCTGGAGAGCAAAAAAACATCTATTTTGAAAGGCTAAACGCCAACAAATATGGATGAAACTGAACATTTTGCAACAAAAAAAAACACAATGGAAATGTTAAAAAGGGCCTACATCTTAGAAAGGGTTTTATTGTGTATTAAATAACACTCTGGGGTTAGTGGAAGTGTTCTATAACAAATATTACATCAACAAGGTAGCTCTATAACATCTCTACCTCAACATTAACACATGATTTGAACCAAGAACCATTAATTGACAATCGGTTATTTAGGGAGGCGTCAAATCATAAAAAAGTAATGGAAAACAAATGTCACCTCGTGAACTGGCTCGGCGTCTGTGTGTTCACCCCCACAAAGACATACAGCACACTTTCATTTAAGCTTTAACAACCTGCCTCGTGCTTAAACCACCGTCATCAAAGAATGAAAAGGTAAAGTCGGCGATGCGATAGCTGCTGCTAGGAAACAATAAACACCTGCTCGAAGGTGTCCCACAACATCTGCAAGGCTGCCTTTCTTGACTTTGGTGATGAAGGCCCCGAGTCGCCCTGTTTCTGTCATCTTCCCTCCTACCACCTGAACACGAGGGAGAGAAAGGAGAATGGAGAGCAGCAGAGGTTGATGTTTGCGAGAATCAGCAGTTGCTCAACTGGCAATAATCTACATATTTGTGTCGTGTTGTTTGTGTAATACTCTTTAACTTTAAATATTGGTTAGCCAGTACACCACACAGCTTTCACAGGAGTAACAAAGTATCGCTATAGAGGGCTAAAGGACTGCGTACCAAAACCAATTGAGTAAGCATCTTTGCAACTCCACATCTCTTGTCTCAAAGTCAGTTTTTGGAATAATACCCGAAATGAGGTCCGTAGTTAACAAAATTTCAATATGTAAAAAAAAATACATCAGTATTGATTTGTTTAATCTTTAACATGTCTTCAAAACATCATAATGCCAACCATTTCTCCGCTCATGTCACACTCATAGCGTTTTAATTCTTGCAGTTGCACTTTCCACAAGCATTAAAAAGTGTGTTGATTGTTGAGGGTTAACTTTCTGAACAAAAAAATAGAAATCCCAAAGGAAAAATCCCATTGGCTCTTAATCAAATGAGCCAGCGCAAAGATTTTGGGTGGCTTCCAAAAAGATTTCATCCCCGGAACAATGTTCTTCTAGTTTGAACTGATCAGGCGATCAAATGAAGTTAAGACGAGCACTAAGACATTATTAGGAGCGAAATGCCAGCTGGGCGTGTACCAGGTCTGAAGGAAGGAGAGATTCCCTGCTTACTTTTAGGCCGAGGAGGGAGCCAGCCTCGCGGGGCATCGCTGACCTCTTACTGAGAGTGATGCGTCCGATCAGGTGGTCGCCCTCTTTGGACGGCTGCCATGTGACCGGATGCTACAGGGAAAGGTTGTTAGGATTGTAAAGGAAAACAGAAAGAAGGGACGGAAATAGTATATAATGCTACATTTAAACATTATTATGTTTTGTAATTATTTTAGTGTGTATTTTACGTCCGTTTTTTTTTAACTTACATGCCAAACTGTAGGATCTAAAGAATGACAGTCCCAGTCACCTGCACAATGAAAGAGAAAGAGGGTTTACTAAACTTCTAAATGTAACATTTTAATACAGTTTAGGGCAACATTGAATCTATTACACTTTTAAAATGCATATAGTATCCAGATGATAACAGATTTCACCTTTCTCAAGTTTGTATTTTTTATACTTTTGTTTACACTTTAAATACACTTCACAAAAGCAAAGTCATTAAATGTATTCATCAGTTGCTGCAACCTCTCATCCTACGGTCAAATAAAAAACATCATCGATACAACCTTCATTATTTTTAGTAGGAGTGCATTTTAGAGTTTTCAGACCATCGTGGTGGTTTGAGCTACACAGAATACACAATAAGTATATATAATTGATCAGGACTTCTTAAGAATCCAAAAGACATACAAGCTGTACAATAATAGTAGTAAATAAAAATCTAATTACAACAACACTCCATTCATAATCCAATTGATTCACTGTAGTGGCCTGTCCAAAACTCATGCCTGAGACTGGCAAGGGACACCAATGACTCTCATAAGCACTGACAGATGGTCGGCTTGAGACTAACCAACTTGCCCAGAATCAGACCAGAGAGTCTGAGCGATTTGTGGCCACTCTTCCACCACTGATAAAAAAAAAAAACACAACAGCATTGTGAGAGAGAAATTTCTGGTAAACAAAACGTAAGAAGATAAGCAATAACAGTCGAGTGACAAGGATTGCTCTAGAGATCACAAAATCTAAAAGAAAATTGACATTATTTTTACACGTGTCAGCGATTGTGTTTTTGAAGCGTTGGAGGTAATAACGGGTTGACACAGCAGAATCGGCTAATTTAGTGTCATTTAACAGAATTTACTAATCCTAGCCCAGGCATGACATTTAATTAATTGCTACCCAGTCCCTAAATGTCCAGGAGCTTTTCCTGCGTGGGCTCATGTGTAAATAAGAGGCGGTATAGCTATTCAGAGATATCAGAACTACTAATTTCCAACCTCGAAACATTGTCATAATTCATGGGAAAATACGTTGGCTGTTTTGTGAATGAAAGTAGTAACATTGCAGGGGAAATCACGTATGTCTTTTTTCCGTTTTAAAGAGAAATATAACTGCTCTTGCCTTAGCATCTCACTTAATCTATTGCATCTGCATAGTGAAACACGTTACACATTATCCGGTAAAACGCACTTCATTCCAGCGATGAGTAAAAGAAGGAATCTTGTTTGGAGGCGCAGCTAGCTAAAGACCGTTTAAAACAGCTAATAATCCCAATCCACACCATCTACCCATTACCAGTCCCTGAGTTAGAGTAATCTGGATTAAAACATCTGGAACAGGCCCCTGCTGCGACCAGTGAGAGAGAGAAGCTGCCAAGACCACATCCAACTCTTCCCACTGCCGGTTGAACTTGAGTTCTCCCGTAGCTCACAGCATAGAATCGCTCCTCTGACGGGGGTGAGCTACAAAATGCAACGGTATCAAAAAAAAAGACGGAGGGGGCCATGCAGCACGCGATCACAGCGAGGCTTGGTTTCCGCTGGCGGTCCATGCGGGTTGCCGGTGCAGCCGGCTGTTTGCGAAGCATTACATGGCATGCGAGCCACCGACCTAATTCCACAAATCTGCTGGCCTAAATCACAGGGACCCTTCAAATAAATGAGAGCCGTCCCGGGAGCGGTCGGGTTTAGCCACAGCACACGGGTGTAGATGACACACGCGGATAGTGATTCACTGTATGCTGGGTGGGTCCGTCATCCCATCACTTATCGCGCAGTTTTACGGTGCCAAATTAGAATGTTTTGGTATTAGAATAATCTTTTGAGTCAAAATATTGCTGAATTTTTTTTGGGCTTTTTTAGATGCTAACGCTAGGAAGGAATCACCATCAAGTGTGGGAGAAGGTTACGACTTTTCATGAAGAGGCAATTCATCAAGAAACTTTGTTGAGTTTATAACTTTGCAGGTTTATTTTTAATCTGGGTAACAATTCTTCCTAGGTTGAAAATAAATTGTATGTTCATTTGTACAATGATTTAATCAAGATATTCATATCCTTCAGACTGTTAGCTGCAGATCAATACAATACAACAACAATCAACCACAGCAATTTGCCATCAAGCCTGTGACTCTAATGATGCGCACGCTGCACTCAGTATGAAATGTTAATTCAGGAACGGCCTGAAAGTGCTCTTGAAAAGATAAGATAAGAATACAACATATGCAGAGGTGCGTTTTTGCTTCAGGTAGACTGAAGGACATTTAAGGGACGAGCATTCAAGCTAAGTACGTGAGAAGTGCAGCAGCTCATTTACAAGATTCGATGCCTTAAATACGACAGCTGTGACTGTACAAACAGTGTCTAATGTAAAGAAATGGATGCTAGCAATCAGTGCAAGGTATGCAAGTGTGAATATATTTAGCTTAGTAAGCTAGTAGAGTGAACACATCTGTCTGACTGACCTTTCTCGCTGACGCTTTCCATGTCCACGTCCTCACAGCTGGTGTACTCGGGCGTGGAGCCGCCTTCCTCCTCTGAGCTGCTGATGGACATCTGCCTCTTGTTGACTCCGCGTTTGCTCTTGTATGACCGCGGAGGGGGCGGCCGCAAAGACTCCGACTGGTCCGAGCTCTGAGAGTCCTTCCTTGGGAGGCTGTCCCCACCCTTGTCCCTTGGTGTCCGCGTTGTCCCGGGCTCCAGGCGGCCTTTGTTCGTCCCCCAATCTGGAGCCACCGGCCCCTCAGGTTGAGGTCCCGATCTCACTCCGCCTCCTGCAGGTTGAGCTGCCCCTCCAACCCCCGCGGTCCTATCCACAGAGAAGACGTGGTGGTTCTCCAAGAGGGCCTTGTGGTTTCCCTCCCCACCTCCACCCCTTCTGGCCAGACGGTTTTCAGGCACATCCCCTCCTCCACTTCCGCCACCACCACCTTCACCGGGCCCAAGTCCGACCTCGTTGATTGCCAGATCACTGTGTCGTCGTTCGTGGCGGACCTTGGACACCTTGGCGTGCATGCGCATCTCCTGCTCCTCCTTCTGTGGTTTCACCGGGTATCGTGCCAGGTTGGGATCACTTCGGTAGCGGTTCTGGAACTCCTCCTCGCGGCGCTGGCGCTCCCTCTGCTCCTCATCCTCTGGTCGCCTGCGGTGGGTTTCTGCGCGACCCAAGTTGCCCTCTCTGTCCTCGTAGTCCTGAGAATGGATTTTTTCCAGCCTCCGTCCATCTCCCAAACGTCTTTCTCCTCTGTCCCCAGGAACCACTCGCTCATCCAGGGATGACTGAGATGGCAGCTTCCCAGCCGGCCTTCGGCCACTGCCACGGCCCATGCCTCCCTTACCGTTTTGTTCGTGGAGAGAAACTGGCCTTTTCCTGTGTGAGGAGATGATTCATTATACCCGTGTTGTATGTTGTATACAAAGACAGAAATAAACACAGGTGCATCATTTTTATTACAACAGGTATTTGTAAAATGAAAAAGACTTGCTTTTGTTTTATTTGGTATCTGTTTGGGTTTGGTTTCCCATTCCCTTATTAAAGTTAAACCTTCTTTAGAGTTTAAAGTTTTCAAAGGAGTTGTGTTCATTAAACAAACCCCTTACTTTTCTTTAGGCGGTTCGCTTTGGGAGCGCGAGCCGGGCATGGTCTCGGCACCCTTGGCAGCAGCGACACCTGCGGCCGGCTGCGTGCCGTCGAGCTGCCCGGCGTTGCTGTTGGTGCTGGAGGGCGGGGCTTGGGACCTGGAGCGGATCAGCTTCCTGTCCCGTTGGGTCTCACCTCCACGGGCTGGGTTGTTCAAGGAGGTGCCCAGGCTCCCAGGCCGCACCCCTGACTCCGAAAACCATTCTCCTGATTTGGTAAGAATCTCCTGCTGTTTACGGCACAGGTTGCATACCCACATTACCTACACGGATCGAAAGGACAAAAGTGTTTGAAAGCTGGATTTGATAGATTGAAAACATAATATTTAAAACATGGAATAGCTAACAGAAAAGGGTTAGGCATGCCTGTGACACAAAAGTCAGAAATCAGAAAAAAACACTATTTTATTCAACATATAGGCTTGCGCAAAACAAACGCAGCATTAAAGACATCAACAATTTATGTGTCCTTTATTTATCCATGATAGTGCCAAGGAAATATAAAACCTATTTTCCAACATTGTTCAGGCAAAGGGCATAAAAAGATCTTTAAGAGTGTCTGTCAACTCCCATAAATGTCGGTAAGCCACCTGTGAAAAACATATTCCGGCAACGTGTTTCACCTCCTACCTTTGCTACAGCTAATCAAATATTAGAGAGCACTCAGACATGAAAGATTGTGCTGTTTCAACATATTCGTTGTTGTAAACACGGCTCGGCTGAGACTACGGTGAACCCCTTAACAGGTTTCTCCGGCCCTGTGGTTCTATTGGTCTGGATCTTATTGTATTGTAACCCGTCGATAAAAAGTATTAATTTTTTTGGGATTGAATTATGCGCATGTTGGTTGGTTGGTTTTTTAGAGAGTTGAAAATAACTATATGTAACTCCAAATGTACTGTGAACAACATAAAAAAGAGCAAAGCTATTCTAGTCAGTGCATCATCTTTGCAGATGCGGGCAATGATTTTACATTTTTCATTCAGCCTCTATAAAATGCTACATCACAAGATGTATGACAAACAGCAATGTAACATGTGATAACATGTGATCCTTCGTCCTCTAAATCCAGCTATATTGACAACATTGAATACTCACATGTAGCCATGGCTACTGAATATCACACCGACAGCACAAAAACAGGATTTATCTCCCTCCGTATTTATAATCCCAACGTTGTTGTTTTTTTTAGAGAACAAATCCAAAGTGAAGAGAAAAACAAAGTCCTCCCTCGTATTCCACTGCGGGACCTTCGAACAAAACAAACCCCCCCTGTGGGACCTCTGGAAAACCCCCAATGTTACTCCCTGACGACCACTGGGATGGACTGTTTAGCAGCTAGCAGTTAGCCTTCAGCGTGCCAACGCACATTCATCATAGCCTGATTGAGTCCTTGTTGGCGCACGTCCAGTCTAATCTAAAGTAAATCAGCTGCCCGCACGTCCCACAGCTGTCGGGCAGCCACCCAGCCAAACACTACGGTCTCTTTCTCTCCGTTTTTCTCCACCTCTTAACGTCAGATGAGAGGCCACAGATTAGCAGTCGCCGGTAATCCTTTCAGCCCCTCACCATTATTCAACTCATCATCAGATGACAATACTAGCGCACAATTCGTAACATCTAACCCCCCCCCCCCCCCTTCCTCCCTCCGTCAACCCCCTCAGGGCAGAACAGGGCTAGAGATAAAGCCCAGATGACCCAATCCCTGCTCCCCACCCTCCCTGTGCATGATGGGATATAAGATACTATATTTAAGCTAAAACAAAATGTGGAGAGACGAACATAAATGAAAAAGTCATGTACATATATGAAATTTGAGCTGGGATTTGAAAGCATTGGTCTGCTGTAGATTACCCAGAGAGCAACTTGGGGATCAGTGTCCCGTTCAAGGAAACTTGCGGACGGTATTGGAAGCGTTGAGGGTCAACCAATGAAAATAAAGTTCCTAAGCAAACAAAATGTAATATTTGGCCTATTGACTTTTTGGATACTACTTCAAATAAAGCCTTGCTTGTAATACGTTTACAATACAGTATTAAAACATATGCATAATATTCCATTATCATAGTATCAAAGGTTCAATCAGCATCCAGTTCTGAGTATATGTGACTATATGTGATCGACTCATAATTATATAGTTCCTACTTCAAAGACTCCAGAATTGAATAGCACTAGAATTGAACTTCTTTTGTGAAATAAAAAGGGCTTTTTTAGAAAAAGACTAATGTATTTGTAAGGCTGTGGGTATGTATAGCATACTTTGCTGTATGGTTGCTGCCCGTGAGGAAGAGTAAATGCTCTAATCCACAATCTTAATCCTTGAATGAGAGCATCCTATAGAAGAAAAGCACATCATGGGCCGACTGTTGATGGCCCAGTGTGCTCCACAAGCAAACAGGACAAAGACAGACATTTGAAAGATCTCATTTTGTAAGTGCTCTCATCCATGTGTTAGTTATGTTCTTTAAAGCCTGCACTGTATGGAGGTCGGTAGTGAACCATAAAGAAGATACAAAACACAAAGACACACAGACATACACACGCACGCATAGGATATAACACATATAATCCTTCACTGGAGTGATTGTGCTCTGTGTTCCTGGATAGCCTGAAATATATTGTAGGGGGAATTAATTAGGTGTGTGTGTTTGTGTCCTCAGCAAAAGCCCATAGTGTGTGTGACAGATGTATTTGCCGTATTATTAGGTGCTGGACCAGGCGGAGCGTGATGCCAGACCCTCAGCCAAATCGACCAATCGGCTCCCTCCGTCCAGAGGCAGCTGACTAAGGTGTCACCTCACGTTCATCTCTTCACTGTGGAGTGCAAAGTGCTGTGAGAATTCCTCTGCGTCCGTGCGGATATATGAACAGTACCTATATGTAGGACATTTATGAAACCTTCTTGCCTAGAAGCGCGTGACGTGGGCGACCGCCTCTTGGCGAGATGTGTAGGTGTGCGTGTGTGTATGTGTTTGTGTGTATGCGGAATTAACGGTGCCATCTCGCTCATGTAATAATGTCAACCTCCTTCTGCCTAAAAAATGTGCTTCTCCATGGTAACCAAACCAAGGAGAGCTAGTGAGAGAAAGGGGAACAATGTGGTGTTTGAGTGTGCGTATGAGTGTGTGTGTGTGTGTGTGTGTGTGTGTGTGTGTGCGTGTGTGAGTGTGTGTAGGTGTGTGTGAAAGACGCGTCAGTACTGAAGTACAATAACAGCAGAGAAAAAATAAACCTGCAGAAATTTAAGCTGCCTCAAGTTACCATTGTTTTTTGTATCTAATATCCAGATTTCCTTTTCTGTGCCTTCATTTACATTTAGCTATTTGTTTAGTTTATGTTCTTTCATTCTCCTTTACATTTTTCTTCTTTTTTTAATTCCTCTAATCGCCCGAATAATGGTAATTACGAGAAGTAGCGGTAACCGTACGGAACGACTGCACTACATGCCAGAAACGCAAAGTGGATCGATATGAAAAAACACAACCAGCCTCTCGTCTGTCAGCAGCGAAGCGGCATGCGTGGGGACCTTTCGGTATTTCTCACAATAGCAAAGTCCTCCGGCGGGCCTCACTGGACCCCCCGCAGGGATCTGGCCGGATGTGCTTTATTTACTTTTGTATTTACTTTTCTTTTTTCTTTCCTTCTTTCCACATATGCATGCTTTGCTTTTTGTCTTTAACTTCCTTTCAGTGCTGTCTTTTTTCTTCTCTTTTTATTCCCCGTCTTATTACTCCTCCTTTCTTCACCCACTGCCTCAGCTGACACACCTGTCACTCATACCATCCCATACTCTACTCCCTTCCCTTCATCTGCCGCCCCGGCAACGCTCTATCAATCTGCTGACAAAATGGTGAAGGCGCGCACAACAGCAGCAACAGCAGCTCTACAACAAGAACAGCACCCATTCAGGCTGGCATTGTGTGAACATCAGCTATTCCTTAAATGGGGAGAATGAATAGGAGCCTTAGGTGTGGCGAGGCGGAGGGTGGGGGGGGGGTTGGTCTTTCAGTAAGCACGTGCAGTGACCCTGCCCTCCACACACACACACACACACACACACACACACGCACACACCTCGACAGAATGATGTATGAGGCAGCACTGGGTGTAAACCGCCATCGTTCAGGGAATGGTAAATCCTGAATGGTGGGAAGAGCGATGACGCAAACGACATAATGCTCCATTTCCTCTAATAAGGTGGTAGATCAACTCAACGAGCGGATGCAACGCGTTCAGTGGCGAGGAGGCCCAATAGGAAAGCAGAGCTCCAGATAGCGGCGAGTACGCTCGCTTTTCACAGCGACAATTCATTCAAATAAACAACATACCGTAGGATGTGTGTAACTGCCGTCTAAAGCGGCACGTGGCAGGATGATAACATTTGTGTTTGCCCCTGTTACACCTGGCTCTTGAAAAATGATAAATAAGTCCATTGTTAAAGTCTTACCACTGTGACGTGGATGCTGATTGTACGCAATGGCTATAGAATAATGACGCAACCTGCCTGTGTGGCGTGCTTAGGGGCGTGGCTCTAGTCTGATCACCTGCTCAGGTAACCAAGCTGTCTTCAAATCAAGAAATCGCCCTGCAGTGTATCTACCCCGGTTCTTCGTCCACCGGTCGCCAGGCCGACCTGGTAGTGGCTGCGCTTGGCTGCTCCTTTGAAGAGTGTGTTCAGTTTATTGTTTGTCTGCCCGCTTTTCCGCTGACCCTGTATTTGTGTCCTTGCATTTATCCGTCCTCCCGGTTCCCCGGTCTGTCTGCCTGGAATAAACAAGTTTCCCCTCTGCCTCTTAGTCTGGTCATTTGGGCCCCAACGTACCGTAACAGATAACACACAAAATGAATTTAAAAAGTCAGTGTGATATTCACTATTCGAGGGTACCAGACTGGAACAGGAGCTCGCAGAATAGTGACATTAATACTAAAATGACTGAATTCAGCCATTTTTAAACTGCATATTTCTGGCCTCAAAAGACTATTTAGTGATGCCCCGGCTTTCCCTGATATCAGCAATTAATTAGCTGTATAAAATTGCTATTTGCTTTGGCCAGATCCAGTAAGGGCGGCCCTATTATTAAACACACAGGCAGTTGCTGGGAAGGGACACAGTCAGCTACAAAATCAAACTTCGCAATAATGTCGGTCAGGCTTTTGACTGGACGGATGACGGAAAGGAAGTTTACAGGGGCAACAACGGGTCATTTATTATAGGAGAGGAATTGAGAATGAGGGGGAGCTATTAGTCACCTGGCACTGGGAACCAGAATATTATGCGCTGCATTCTCCATTACGGTAAAAAGAGAAAGTGCTGTGTAAGCTTAATGCAGTGGGCATCAGTGAGAGTCTGAGCTTGTGTCTCTTTGCGGTGTGCGATGGGTAAACTGGGCGTGAAACTAATTCTATCATACTGAATACATATAACAACTATAAAGGGCCACTGGTATAATCTGTGGTTCAAAGAGAAGCAAATAGTCTTTTTTTAAATACAATACATACGTCTCATTCTAAATCTATGAAGCCAAGATTGTGTATGTGTGTGTGCGTTAGGACTCAGTGCCCGCCTGCTATCCACTGGGGTGGAGTATTCCTCTATTAAGGAGAAAGATTGTGAGCGGTTTGGTCAGTTTCTGGAAGCAATCTGGAGCTGTCATTGAACACACATAAACAAACACTAGCCATTAACAAGCTAGAGCACCAGTAGCGGGAGGGCAGCTGCACAGAGGCAATGAAAAACACTTCAAATACAATAACGTGTTTCGTGTTCTTAGAGGAAAAAGGCCAAAAAGTAGTTGCGACACTGTTTTTTCCAGATGAAGAAACTGTCCAAAGGTGCACCATATTCACTATATTCTACTCTGACATATTTGCTGCTTTATCTGAAATCATAAGTGTGGACAAACAAGGAATCTCAAAAGGAACATTCAATGTCGTTCTACTCAATGATCCTGGCTTCGCAGCAACCAAACATTAAGGGGAGGTGGACAGAGTGAGACATACACCTGGGCCCAACCCGTCTCCCGATGGCAAGGCTGGTCTGGCCTCAAACACACAGGCAGGTAAAAGCATGCACAGGCATGAGTGTGCATTCGTTATGCATTCGGATAAACAGTCTGCGGGTGTGGTGCTTTCATATATGCATGCCATCTGAGAAGCCAATCTCCCATCCCCTATTTTTGTCAAAGATTTCAACCAGTATCCATTGGCCCTCTTTCAGCACAGCCATGCCTTACAGCCATAGGAGGAGGGGTCAGGATGGGTCAGGTGGGTTGAGACGCCCTGTAGTGTGGCTCATGCTCGCTCTGCCCACTAGCTGACTTTCAGGGTCTGCAGTCATTCTCAGCTGCCCCGTGGCCTCTTAGACCCCAACAATCTGTGAGGAGAAAAACCGATAGTGGGATCTAATTCCTGTTCTGATACTGTGAATGAGCACAGACCCGAGTGGGAGGGGTGACAACAGTATAGTGGCCCATGCAACAAAATCCATCACCCAGCAAGCCTTACCCTGTCCTTCACTATGACACACTTTGCAAGGGGAGGAGACAGACAACGGTCACAGAGTTAGTCAGGGTTTACACTCGGAAGAAAATCCTCCGAGGACACAGTGGCTCCGCCCCGCACAGTACAGTAATGCAGCGAGAAATCATAAAAACAAAAACCACGGCCGATCAGGGGCGACCCATGTTCAGTTATGTCAGTAATCCATGAGTGGGTTCGTACGCACACACGCGGGCTCCGTTCTTATCTCTTGCATGTCCGATCCTTTTTCTTTCTTTCAGCTGTGAAATTATAGGTCTGGGCAAAAAAGAAAATTAATCCTAGAAATATTCTACATCACCTTTCCAGCGTAAACAGACAAGAGAAACCTCTGGCACAAACATCAAAGTCACAGCACAGAAAGAACACAAAAAAAAAAAAGATGCTAACCACTTTGTCCTCCTTTGTGGCATGCAGTCCGGGTAGCAGTGAGTATTGAGAAAAGTGACGGTGGAAATAGACCAGGAGAGGATAGAAAGGAGAGAAATAAAAGAACATAAAAGATTTAAGAAACAGAAATGCAGACAGGGTGAATTCGGGAAATGCGATAGCGGACAGATTGTAGGAAAAAAGGGGGAAAGAACGAAGGAGAAAAAGGGGGAAAGAGGACGAGGTGCAAACATTTGTTAATTACATTCTGCAGAATCGATACACATACTTCATATTCAATGACTGAGCGCGGGCGGGTGGGGGACAATAGCATGTGGATGAATGTGAAAACTGATGTGACAACTGAATGCGGCAACATGCATGACCCAGCTTGGCATGACGTTGGCATGACTCATGACCTGAGACAACGTCCGGATGCGTCACCGAGGAAATTACGGCTTACTCTATAATGGAGGCAGTTCAGATGTTAGTACTTTGGTTTCACATCAAGAGAGAAAATATCATTAGGAATTGTTAAATGATTGCAGCAAAGCAGCTAAAAAACTAATAACTGGCTAAACGTGTTAGCAAGGTGGTGACTTATCATTTAGTAATTTTAATAATATTAATAATTTTAATAAATAATGCTTGATTATTTGTTGGGAGTTTGTCATCGGGAGTTATTTAACAGCCTCAAGAAATATGTTTTAGTTTATTAAATCATATCAAAGCAAGTGATTACATGTAATACTTTTGCAAACTTGTGAAAAACTAGATTTTTGGCTGTAGTTGTACAAAAATGTTAACATTGATTTTACACAAAACTGAAATCTGGGTTTTTAGAAGACATGATGCCAGATTTTATTCTCCAAGCTTTTCTCACAGGAGTAAAACCTGAGGAAACCTGTTAAAATTCCCGGACAAACAAAAGCTAAACTAAAAGCAGGGTGATAACGCTAAAAATATTTTGCTGTGTTGATTGATGTTAACATGAGAAGTCTCCCTCTAAACTATCATTTATAGGTTCTGTGAAAGTAATACAAAGGGCTCCAGGAACAGGGAGAATAATCTTCACCCCCTTCTCTCCCTGGTCTTTGAGCTCTCCGCGCGTGTGGTGCCAGTGTGAGATGAGACCCAGCTGGGCTCGGCGGATCCAGAACAGATTGGGGACCGGCAGGCCAAGGATGGAAGGCCCACAGACAGGTACCGTATACCCGGGGGAGGGGGGGGGTTTCCTGGATTGGCGCCCATATAATACTTGAATGGATGAGGGCCAAGTCTTAAAATAGTGCAAACGTGTTTGTTTAAGAAATGGAGGCCTCGCAAATCAAACAAGGATCTGATCATGTTTTTTGGGGTGTGTGCCTTTGTTTTATCACAGTGTGGCCTCTAAAGCCTTTAGCTTAGATGTACGCCTCGCTACGCAGTTACTACCCAACAGCCTTGTCTACAGCCCATCTGAACCTTGTGCTTGTCTTTACTTTGTTCAGCCACGTTGCTGGAGGAGGTTCATGTTTTGATGGCTGCAGTAACGTCACAGGAGACACAGGACAACATAAATGATTTCATGTTCAAGTGAGATCAAGTGGTTCGAACGATTTATAACCATTCCACAACACTGCAGCCTCAGACTTGAAATGAGGGGCCTTTTAGGGGCCTGTGACTGGTGCCTTTGGTGGGACCAAAGTGTGACCGGGAGGCATCAAAGCAGACAGACGCAGAAGCGGATGAACCCAGCTCCTCGGAATGAGGTGTGAGTGTGAGAGGTAAAAAGGAAAAGGTTGGAGGTCATGGGTGGAGTTGTTTCTCACGTTGTTGGAGCGCAGGGAGACCCGCCCGCCGCAGCGAGCGCAGAATTTGGTCTGGCAGTAGGAGCAGAGGTGTCCGCAGCCGTCGGCAAACTTGGTCTTGCGGCAGATGCCGCAGGTGGGCGCGTCGTCTTTCAGCTGGGTCGGCTGGCGCCGCGTGTCCGCCCCAATGCGACGCACCTCCTGTTTGTAGCTCTCGAACTGCTGGTGCAGTGTTCTGAGGGGGGGGGGGGGGGGGAGAAAAGATGAAGATGGCCCGTTAGTGGAACATCATGTATTCACAAAATGTTTGTACCCACCTGTGGAGTTAAGGCAGACATTCCTCGCTAAATGTCCGTACGTTCAGCACAAATACATAGCGGGAGAACTTAATATTTCTTTATAATAAATATAAATGAAACAGCAGCGACGAAGAACATTTTTACTTCATGATAAATAACTAAGAGCTCCACTTTAAAGGTAACAACAGAAATCATAAACGCAATTAAATTAGACTTCGGCTCAGTTTTTGTCCTCTGAGGCTCACAGCCTTCACCCTGCCTGCTTCCAATGATGCCTATGATGGAAATAGCCAGAGTGTCAATTGCAAATCAGCCTCATGTGAAAACACCCGCAATGTTTGTCTCAACAGACCTGTCAAAGCAATACCGCATCACCATACCATGACTCTCGCATAGCGGGCCGAGGCAGGCCCTTTAATTGCCTCGCTGAGTGAGAGAGATAGAGAGGAAGGCGATGGATTCATTTGCGGCTTTGCAGCCAATTTGCCTATTTGTGAAAGCGCACAAACTTTAGTTAAGCCTCTGTCGGCACACAGACCGTGGGCTGTCAAAAATAAATTCATCAAGACAATGAAACACATTGGCATTCAAACTTTTGTCAAGGTAAAAATGAGAAATCCACACAAGAAATGCCCCAAAGTTGAGTAAGCGGGAGGACCACTGCTAAGCAGGACACTGAATACTTCCTTCACGTGATTAGTGGTGGAGGTGATGAATAAAGGTGACACCGTTTTAAAACGTCAAACACAACAAGAAAAAAAATGTTCAAATTACATTTCAGCCCATCAGTCAAATAAACCCAAAGACAATCAGTTTACAACAATCTCATCACCATCAGTCAAACTTGATCACCTTGATTTATTGAAAGCAGACATGTCTTCCCTACACCTGATCCGTGGTCAGCAGCTCTTGGTTGGTAAAGAAGACAAAAGAGATAACGGTCCTCCACCATGACTTGTCCAAAGTCCACGGCGATGCTGTGCCTTCTCAAAATACGTTTGAGTTGCAAAAAGAGGCTGGTCTTTGTCTGTACTGAAGAACGGGCAGTCCAAACTAAACGGTGTTACCGCGATGGTTACAGCCTCAAGAAAAGAATCTTTGGCTGGCCAAGTCAGCTGACACAAGTAGAAGGCTGGAACAGGGACAGCTATTTGGGGACGGGGCAAGTTTAATGCAGCATTTTTATCACAACAAATATATATATATATATATATTATATTTTGAATATTAGCATGTCTTCCCTGCGGTTTGCTCAAATATTTGGTTTGTAATGTGTAAGTTTGAATGCTGCAGTTTTGTAATTCCCGAAGGGGACTCGCTGTAATAACCGCGGGGCTCAGCATAAAAGCATGTGTGCCATCTTTCAATGCAGAGGTTCATTCAAAATGTTAATCCAACGGAGATCATCACTATACCATGAGAGCATTGTTTAACACCATTAAACAATGCTCTTTAACCATCAGCAGTTCTGGCTGTGCTTCACTGTGAGGCTCTAAACGGGCTTTAAATCTTGTAGAAATTTAGTTTTTGGACATCGACAGACAAAAGTAGATGTACATGCAAATATACTAAATAGAATCTGAATTGCATGTGCATGTTCTCACATGAAATGTTTCATGTTTGGCTTTGCTTAACATAATATCCCGAAATAATGATAAATGGAACTTTGAGTTGACACAAACCTATGTTAAACTGATCTGTGCGTTATTCTAAAGGAAAAAACAACATTACATGACACAGCAGCAACGTCATAAACATGACCTCTGACCCAGAAGAGCAATCTATCCCTCCGACGGGAGTCCAGCAGCTGAGCCAAGTTCAGGCACCATGGGAACAGCTGTCAGAAACAGAGGGTGCACAGCCGTTGTCATGGTAACTTGGTGGCGTCAACCACAGAGAGTCAGCGGGTGTCAGCGCACCAGCTGTTCTTGTTCTTATAGCTTCATGCAATATTTTTAAGACTTCCACACATTCCATAGACGTGCACTGTTTAAGCTGCACGAGGTGACTTTTTAATCTGTTCTTAGCCTAAATCACAAAAGGTGATCTACAGCTGTGACTAGGGTCTCATCCTCTTTGACCGGGAATCTCTAAATATAGCAGGGGGGAATTAGGATGTCAGGTCTGGACAGTGTCCTGCACATCTACAATGAAATTAAATGAAAATCTCAATCATTATTTTGATAAAGTCTATAAACGTCTATCGTGAGTCAGAGAGATCCACCCCAGACAACATTAAATAATCTTTAAAGAAGTCATTAAATGACTTCTGCATAACCTTCCCAACTACAAATGTGGAAACACACTACGGCTTTAAACCTTTTCAATGTGTGTGAGCCTGCTGCCTCTGCAGGGATCAGCAACCGTGAACCTGGGATCAAATGTGGTGATAGAAAACAAAAATATTTTGAGAGCGGCTCACACTTTGTTGGTCCTCTCCTTCTCTGTGGGTAACGTGCGCATGCGTATAGGTGGGTCGGCCCGTGTGCATTTAGGTGCCGCACTGCAAAAACACACACACACACACACACACACTCATACATACACAAATATAAACAATGACACAGGCAAAAAAAAAAGTCCAAGGACCTCCTTGCTCTCTCTCTCCCTTTCTCTCTTTGGTTCTCTTTCTCCCTTCCTCTCAGGCCTCCGCTCCCTTCACCAGTCACTGGTATGGTGTTGTTAATTAGCACTGCTATGAATACATTGCCCAAGGATGGGGAGGGAAGCTGTGTGTGTGTGTGTGTGTGTGTGTGTGTGTGTGTGTGTGTGTGTGTGTGTGTGTGTGTGTGTGTGTGTGTGTGTGTGTGTGTGTGTGTGTGTGTGTGTGTGTTTGTGTATGTGTGTAGGGCAGTACTATTTTGGTCTCATCAGCTGATTCCTGGTGACGCTTTGCAGAAGACTCTTCCTCAGTCTGAGGAGACACAACACGTCCCTTCAGACTCAAACGCAGCATTAAACCCATTATTTCGGCGCTTTGCACCGCACCACGGCTTTGGCTTTTTTCTAGCCAAGAAACGAAGGCAGAATGAAGACTGTGTTGTGTCTGTCTGAATTCTTGAAGTGCACTTCACAAAGTTTGCTCTCGTATCAGGAGCGAGGGAGGAAGCCGCCGTCTGGCATGTCAGGTGTGCGAGCGGTGCTGTTAGTGCGAGCGTGGGACAGATGCGCCCTGGATCGCCCCGCAGCTCTGCTAGACGTTTTCAAACACATTTACTATAGAACTATTGTCGCATTCTTCGTAAGAGGCCCTTTAGTGGGAAGAACCAAACAAGCATGCTGGATAGGAAAAGCTTCTGATGGAGAGAGACCGGGAAGACAGCAGACAGGTTGACACCCGCTGTAAGGAAGCAAAGTCATGGGTGGAGGGGTGGAGGGGGGGGTGAACTTAAGGGGTAAATGAATGCGTCTGAAAAGTGTCTGTCTGCAGGAGAGGAGGAGGTGATCGGAGAAGGAAAAGGATGAAGGATGAGAGCCAAGCCGGAAACAGGCGTAGGCCAGAGACCACCGGAGGAGAGAAGCCGATGCATCCGGAGCCACTCTATAAATACCTCTCGAGAAGAGGAGAGGATGATGGAAAGAGGATGAAGACAGTGTGATGGAAAGATTAAGGGGAGGAAGAATAAGGAGGTGGAGAGAACAGTTATAAAATGAGTGATTTATTGTAAATAAATAATTAGGTGGGAAAAAAATAACCAAACATTTGGAGTGGAATGTGGCATGTGAAAGTGATGAGAACAGAGAAGGAGACAAAGAGAGCAAAGGAGAGCAACAGATGGGTGCAAAACCAAATGCAAACGACTTCTTTGTGTATTTCCTGTTTGTCTTGACATAATGTTCTCCATGACAACTGTTATGTGTTTGGCTTTCTTCACCGTCAAAAAGGCAATAAAAGAGGCACAATGTCATAATACTAGCAGAAATAAATCACACAGATGGCCAGTCTGTATCTATCTACAGCTCAGCGATTTCTCAAGAAATCTGTCCGGTCCTTCTTGGCTTGGTAGAGTTCACAGATTCACAGCTGTAAAAGAGTCCGGTGTTACAGTCACATCTGGCTGCTGGTCTAGTACACAGCTATCTATGTTAAATAAAGTAAGCACTCACGTCACCCATCATTTATTAGAAGAACCTAGACTGCTGTTGAGAAGCGTGATTCAATTTGCCATCCATCAAAATATGTTTAAAGCTCTTAAAATGACCATGAAACAATCTGAAATCACTCAACCATATACTTTTGTTGAGGAGGCTCAAAGTTTTTAAGAAGGTCTTTTTGTAGTGAACAATAAACAATCCTAAGTAAGGTAATTGTGAATCATTGGGTCCCCCTATATAAAAGAAAGGATACATGCATTAAATTAATAGCCACATGGTGTTAGTCTGTGCTTTATTATATCTTCATTACTGTGAATCCTACAGACTTTGAAAATAAGGGTTCAAATTTGCTATTTTGAGTGAAATGTCTGAACAGCCTTTAGATGGATTACCATAACATTTTGTTAAGAAGTGCCGCCCTCAGAATAAACTGAGATAATGTTGTCGATCACATTTCAGCTTCAGCTGTATTTTTTCTGGTGTTACGATGCTAAGATGCTAAGCTAAGAATTAGAAAACACCTGCTAAACAGTAAATGGTGTGTACTTGCATAGCTCACAGTGCTTTTCTTTCATACTCTGGTCACACGAGCTGCCACACACAGGGCCATCTGCCTGTCAGTAACTAACAATCACACTATTCACAGTCACAGGAGCCAAGGGGTTAAGGGTCGTGCCCAAGGACACTTTGCCATGCTGGTTAGCAGAGCTGGGGATTGACTGAAGACTGAAGGACGTCTGACATGATGTTGACCAGTTGAGTTCAAATCAAGTACAGTAAGATCCAAGACTCGCACAACACTCGTGAACGAGTCACGGAAGGGTTCGTGCTGTCAAAGACA